CATAAATAGTTTGGATGCAAAATGGTACAGCTACTCTGGAAAATAGTTTGGAAGTTTCTTATCAAATTAAACATGGATTTACCATATAATCCAGCAATCACACTCCTAGGTACACAATAACCTGTATATGAATGTTTATAACAGCTTTATTCATAATTGCCCAAAACTGGAAACAACCTAAATGTCCTTCAGTGGCTAAATGGATAAACAAACTGGTAGATCAATACAATGAAATACTATTCAGCAATATAAAGGAACAAACTACTGATTCACATAACAACTTAAAAGAAGCTGAAAGACATTATGCTGAGTTAAAGAAGCTTGTCACAAAAGGCTACATATTTCTAAGGCATTTTTACTTAAAAAATTTAATTGAAGTATAGTTGATTTTCAATGTGTTAGTTTCTGGTGTACAGCATAGTGATTCAGTTATGTATATATATTCTATTATAGGTTATTATAAGATATTAAACATAGTTCTATGTGCTGTACAGTATGATCTTATTGTTTATCTATTTTATATATAGTAGTTAGTATCTGTAAATCCCAAACTCCCAGTTTACCCCTCCCTAACTTCTTTCCCCCTTGGTAACCATAAGTTTGTTTTCTATGTCTGTGAGTCTGTTTATATTTTGTTAATAAATATATTTGTGTCACTTTTTAAAAGATTCCACATATAATTGATATCATATGGTATTTTTCTTTTTCTTTCTGGCTTACTTCACTTAGTATGACAATCTCCAAGTCTCTCCATGTTGCTGCAAATGGCATTATTTCATTCTTTTTTATGGCTGAGTAGTATTACATTATATATATATATATTATATACATATATATATATATTTACACACACACACACACACACACATATATATATATATATATATATATATATATATATATAAGTATATGTTATCTATCTATCTATCTCACATTTTCTTTATCCAGTCATCTGTCGATGGACATTAAGGTTGCTTCCATGTCCTGGCTATTGTAAATAGTGCTGCTATGAATATTGTGGTGCATGTATCTTTTTGAATTAGAGTTTCTTCTGGATATATGCCCAGGAGTGGGGATTGCTGGGATCACATGGTAAGTCTATTTTCAGTTTTTTAAAAGAATCTCCTCTATGACATTCTGGAATGGACTAAACTGTAGGGATTGAAAACAGACCAGTGGTTAGAGGTAGGGTTAAGGTGTGGCTATAAAGGAATGATACAAAGGAGATTTATGGGGGCGGTGGAAACTTCTGTGTCCTGATGGTGGTGGTTACATGAATATCGACATGTGTTAAAATTCACTGAATTATACACCAAAAGAAGAAAAGGGCAATTTTATTTTATGATGATTTAAAAAACAGACATATTCAATTCTGAGGTACTTTACTAGCTTATAGGAAGTAGTCTAAACTTCTTAACATGAATTCTGGGTCCCACCTTGGTGGCAGCTCCTCTGCGAAAGGGCTCTTTCCCTCATAAAGCATAAGAATGTAGTTTTTATGGGAGTAGACTGAACTGTGGCCCTGAAGGTCACAACTGTTTTGTCTCTAAGTAAAAGACAATTTTTAGTATTGGAAAGTCTAGGATTTGGAATATCCGTGTTCTCATTCTGGTGTAGGATTTTGTGGAATCCTGATCTAGTACAGCCTCAGTTGCCTCCTTGTTAAATGTTGACTAATAACTGGCTCCCTGCCACAGTCACTGTTAGTAGTATACGCCTATGAAACCACCACCACAATGAAGATCCCAGGCCTAGCCAATTCTGCATCTGAATAGAACATGCTTCCCACTTTAACCCTTCTGGAGAGGAGAGGAGTATGTGATGTATGGTTTAGAGGAGCAGATTGTGTTGTCAAAAGTTTTTCCAGGTGCTTTTTGCATTTATGCATCTTCTTAGCAATTGGGACTGTACTCCTCTACCTCACTTCACCATTCCCCATAACTAATTCATTTCATTGAAATCTGGATCCTGCAGAAAACTGGCTTCTAGAACAAATGCAGTGGCAGCTGTTTACCCACAGGATTGGCCTTAGTTGCTTTAGGTTTTAGAACTTTTTGTGGCAGACCTCTCAGTGTGAAGATCACCCTGATGGCGAGTCTTGGCTTGTGCTGCTGCTGGCCTCCCCCACCTGCCATCCCTACTTGCATATCTCTTGTTTAGAGCTTGCATGACCACCCAAGCCCACTCCCCATTTCCATCACAATTCAACTTCTCCCATGCTGAGGTAAATGACAAGACACTAGTGTTTACGTTTATCCATTTATTAAAATACTTTAAGAAGCAAAACTTTATTAACTTTGAGGACTGGTGTTCCATTTTGTGGGGAGGAGGAATAGGCACACTTTGTGGACCTTTTCTTTCTGCTTTTCCCTGTTACCCCATAACTACCCCAATTTCCTCCCCCAACCAGCCCCTGGCCCTGCTGCTTATTTGCAGGGGCCTCTGAGGAAACAAAAAAATCACAGAACAGGAAACAATATATATTAAAGATTAGCAGACAAATAGACAAATGCAGTTCCACAAACCATAAAGCCAATCAAGGTCCTTTACAGGATGGAATGGTGTTAATGGATTTGGTTGCTTTGGTATTAGTTTCTACTTCTTATGAAACTAAAATTCTTCTACTTGTGTCCTGAGGGAAGATGATGCTGACCCCAACTGTTTCTTCTGATCAACCTTTAACCTAATTTATTAAGTTGAAAATGTCTCCCTTGCCCCTTTGGACATAACACAGGTCCTTTTTGGTGTGGGGACTAATAGCTGCTGACCTGTAGTACTGACACCAAAAGCAGTTGATGGCAGTCCAAATCTGCTGGCATTCTCCTTCCCCACTGTTCTTCTGGCTAGGAATTACCCACTCAGTCAATCCTTCAGAAAATGCTCCAAAGATGCAACCAAACCCCAGAACTTTGGCTCTTGATGACATCTCTGACCCTAATTGAGGTGGATATTTGGTGTCTGGTCCCACGATCTGAACAATTGTACTCCTGCAAGTATTTAATGAAGTCCTGAAAGGAGCTTCTGCATTGAGAAGCTAAGCCAACTCCCTGAGAAAGAAATCCCCACTTCTTGCCTTGTTTCCAAGCTATAGTATGTGCAAGAACAGGTGTTCAGCAAGCTGTCTTCCTTTTGGGGAAGCAATTGGTAACTGAACAGTTGAGGAGGTAACCATTGCAATTTAGCAAGCCACACCTGCTCTTGGGTCTCATCGCCTATCAATCAGTTCTGCTCTGTGAGTGGACTCCAGCCCCCAGTCCTAGTGATTTAATTCAATATCATTCTGACCTAGGGTGGGAGGACAGGGTGGGTGAAAGGGAATCCAGATGGTACAACAGAGCAACAGTAGCATTACAGTGTACAAAGACGTAGAGTAAGTCAGCAAAGTAAGCACAAGAGGTGGAATCCTAGTACAGTTCACTGTCATCGGTGATAAAAATAATTACAAGACACAGCCCTGCTTAGGCACTGCCAAGATAAAGCTACCCTCTCCCAGGACTTCCTTTTGTTTCCTGAAATTTGCTCATTTGCACATTTTTCATTTTGAAAAAAAGGCTCTTCTGAGAAAAATGCAACTTAGTTCCCAACTCTGTGAGTATGTGTGCAGCTGTTAACGTGTGCAGCCATGGAGGAGCCAAGTTGGGCTGCATCAGTGACCTTACTGATTTGATCTAATACCTCCTCCTGGGGAGAAAGAGTGATGCAGATAAAGCCAAAGACACAGCAACAGCACATTCCCCACTTAAATACATACAATAAGTTAACATGTTCTGAAGCTTAAATAAGTTTTAAATGTTTTCTTCTCAATGTTTTTTCCATTAACTTTCTTCTCTAGTTGTAGAGCTAGGACTTGTTTGTTTGGCACAGCCATCAGATGTCTGGGGACTATCCCCTTGTTAGTATTTTTCTCCTCACCCCTGCAGAGGTGGAACACAGGTGGCTGGTTTAAGTGGGCTAGGCTGGTGGAGTTCCAGAGTTGAGAACCAGTGCTTAGAGTCTGGATTGTGCACCTCGATGAACCAGCCAATGGACTGAGTCAGGTAATTGAGCACGCTAAGTTTGTCTGAGAAGTGGGGAGGGGCCAGTTTTCTGGCTTTCTCTTGATCAGTGGGAAGGGACACTTACCCAAAGGCATAAGTGGAGGGTGGGTTGGGGATACAATATGGGCTAGAGAGAACCACTGGAGAAGTACTGGAGTTTGATTAGATTTGCCTGATTGGGTGCAGGCATTCAATGAAAAATGCTAATTAGGATTTGGAGCAATTTTGGCCTGGTTGGTTTTCATGAGAAATTTGGAAGAAGAACCATGGGAGAAGCAGAAGCTTTTCGCCTCCATTTTCCCAGGCCCATGTTCTTTCTGGTCACTCTGAATGTCCCTCTGTACTCAAGGGAAAGGAGCAAGAAGGGAGATTCAAAGGTGATTTGGGGACTTAACCATCAGCCTGCCCAGAAGATGCAGGCCAAGATGGAGCTTGTGGGGAAGGGCCTAGGCTGTGACTAGCTCAGGCATCTGAGTCACTGAGCTCAAGGCCTGGTTGCTCCATATAGTCTTTTTTAGGGAAGGGGACGCCAAAGGTTGGGGCAGTTGCTGATGTAGAGTCCAGGACAGATAGAGCAAAAAAGGCAGCATGCCAGCTTAGCCCCCTTCTCTAGGGCATTGGTGTTTTTGTTGTCCTTTCTGTGGCCTGGCTCAGAATTTTAAGGGGGCGTCAGAATCAGCTGGGCCATAGGTAGATCCCAGCCACTTCTAAGACGCTGAAAATGCACCAGAAGATTAGAAGCTCCACCAAGAACTAGGGCAGTTGGTAGAGGCATATGTGTGTGTAGGGGATAGGATCAGGGTGGGGAGGGATTCCTGGGTTAGCACAATAAATTATAGGGTCACTTAGAGGTCGAGTTGTATTTTCAGTTCTTAAAAATATACATACATATATATATATATATATATATATATATATATATATATATATATATATATATATATACCTTTATATGTCTCTATACATAATCTATACTGCAGCACAGCGGCAAAACATTTAGTTAAAAAATCCAGCGAGAATGCAGGCAAACACTCCATGGAGGCATGCAGGCTAGGATCAAGGCAGTAGGAGGGGAGCCTGTATGGTTGCCATAGGGGTGAGTTCCAACCAATGGGCCCACCCAGCCACCAGAGCACCACCTGGACATGTGCAAAGACATATGTGCGCACATGGAAAAACAGAAAGGGTTTGCAGAGAGAGCAGTCACCGCAAGAAAATATTTCACATGGCCATTGTAACAGGCAAGTGGACAAGCCCCCAGGACCTAGTTTTCATCTTAAGAAGCCAACTAGAAGAGACCTCCTGAAGTCACAAGTTGCATTTGGCAGGGATTGGGGGAGAAACACCACCAAGTCTGGCTGTCCTGACCCCTCTCCTCATCTCCCTGAGAGTATTTCTTTCATTCATTCATTCATTCATTCATTCATTCATTCCCTAGCATCAACAGTGTCTCTGCTAGTCAGAGAAAAACATTCCCAAACTCCCTGAAGAGGTGAACTTCCTCGAATCCTTTGTAGATCCCAGGCCATTCACAAAAAAAGCTTATCTCAGTTAAATACTGTAGTTGCTCAAGATGCACGAAGAGAAGGAGAACTGAACAAGACAACTCGGAACAAGAATCTTTGGCCAATGAGAAAATGTAAACCTCTAAGGAGACCTGATTGAGTCCAGGAAAAAAATGTATTAGAGTAAAGAATTGGAGGATCTTTCTTGGTGGTGCTCATGTTTGTTCTGAAATAATTTAGTCTAGCCTGTATTGAGGTTTCAAGAGTTTTCAGTAGAATCCTAAATGTGAGTTCTCCTTCTAGCTTTCAAGGACTATAGTTGAGATCCTGATGATGTTGGAGGATCATCGTCTTTTGCTTCATCTTCATGATGTCTGCGACGCCACAAATTTCCTTTAGGAATAAAAAGCAAGCATGGAAATAATGAGGTTAATACATTGCCAGATGCCCAAATGTATGGACCCTAAAGAGAGCAAACAAAGAGTCCTAAAGGAGACACACTGGTTTGTTCCTATTGTACCAACCATCTCTGAACCATCTTTGAAAATCAGCTGATACCATGTGAGTCAAACACAAATGGGATGAGTTCTCAGAACCTGGTAATCCATGAAAACTGCTATTGACCCCTTCAGAGTCTTCAGAAAGGCTCTCAAACACCATGGTCTCCCGACTGGCAGATTCTTAGGGACTCAAACCAGTTGGACCAAACCTGAGAAAACACACCTTGGTCCAGGAGATTCTCTCTTGGCATCTGTGCAAACCCTTGGTTCCTCAAAAACAAAACAAACTGCCACCCTCCATCCCTTTCCCCCATGTCCACCATTGTTATATCTCTCAAGCTGCCAGGTTGTCTAGGCCCAGAATTTGGGAGAGACCATTGATCTCAGAATTGGCATAACTGACAAGTCAAAGGGAACCTTCTTTGGAGCCCCACTGACATTTAAGTCCAGTTCTGAAGAAGGGATGGAGCCAAAATTCAAATAAGGAAATATATTTTGCATTTCCAGGGACTTATTGTAACAGATAAGGAATAAAAGTGTTTAGATAGGTCATGGGACCTGTTCCTGACCCTGTAGGTGCCCATCACTGACACCTCCAACCCATCTCAAATAATAACTGCTTTCTGGAGCAGGACCAAGAGCTTGTAGTTCTATTTGACTGGGAGAGAGATCTAGGTATGACTATTTTGCCATACTTTACCAACTGGGGAAAGGAATGGGTCAAGCAGAAAGGTAACTGACTGTTCTCATTCTTCTCTTCAGTTGTTTATATTGCAGAGACTACCCGGCAAGGTCACCTCTCAGGTTCTCCCTGTGTCAGTGTCCACATCACTTTCTTTTTTTTTTTTTACATTTTTATTGATTCATAATCATTTTACAGTGTTGTGTCAAATTCCAGTGTTCAGTACAATTTTTCAGTCATACATGGACATATACACACTCATTGTCACATTTCACATCACTTTCTAATGCACATCCATCCAAGAGACTACTTGGCACTGCCTAAAGCTGGCTCCCAGCTGGACTCCTCCTCCATCACCATCATATCTATGAACATTTCTAATGGGAGCTTCTGGTCTTTGGGAGGTACCCAGGCTGCTGGGGAAGTCTTCATGACCTCTATGCCTGTGGGGGAAACTTACCAATAAAACCCTGGATGCCTTGGCCGGATTTAGGCTTCTCTTCCTCTTCTGGCTTCTTCTTCCCCAATTTGGGGAACTTAACTTTCAGTCTGAGGCTTCTACTGTCAGAGTCTAAAGATTTTTCCTGGCAAATCACAGCAAGAGGAAGGTCAAAATGTTAGCTGCCTAATATTCAGAAACAATTCCTAGAGGCCTGGCAAGGTGGGGAACAAGGGTGGCTGCAGGAAGCAAGCAGATCTACTATCTATCCAGGTGTGAAAGACAACCCTGATCCCTAGTTCTATGCCATAGAAGGCATCTGATCTTTACCAAGATCCTACCCTGTGCTGGGTGCTTTGCTAGATGCTTTTAATAAATGCTCACAACCTGGCAAGGTGCTATTATCATACCCGATGAGGAAGCAGAGGCTCAGAGAGGTAAAATATTTCACCTGAGGTCATGTAGCTAGGGATTGGAAGGGTGAGATTTTGAGGGCCACTTCGATGAGTTAGGAAAAAGCAGCCCTTCCTTCAGCAATATGGTTTGGTAAGCCCCAGCTCACTCCCTTGGCCAAATACAGGGAAGCATCTGCCTCCCAGGCCACCTGCTTCCCTGTCTGGAATGCAAAGAGAGTTCTCTGCACATGACTCTTAACGATGAATGCAGGTTCTCTGCCATACAGATCGTGTAGGCTCCCTAATTCTAGCTCAGCTTCCTAATCCTTCCTAAGTGTTGCTTGTTTTACTACTGCTCTCAGGAAAACATAATTCTAAGATTAACTTTGTTGCCAGAAAGTTCATCCAAACACATACTGAGAAATCTTGGGGTTTTCTTTTCTTGAAGATTAGTTATACCTATGATCCTCTCCTTTAGGAGAGTGTAAACCTGTCCTCCTCCTCTTCCTGCTGAATCCCACTTACCCTCCCTCCTCTAGGTTATGTACACTGACCGTCAGAATTGCCTTTCAGAAGAAACCTAAAGGAAGGACACAGGACCTTCCCTTTCGGCCCAAGCCTTGAAAAGCCCAATGAATAACCGACTCTTCTCCTGATTTTCCCCAACAAAGTGGAGCTGAATCTTCTGTGGCCTTAAGGTGAGCAAGTTTGGTGTCAGATGAATGAGCAACATCTTCCTGTCTTCCTGTTGATCCTCACTTTAGAGCCTTAATTCCTTTAGAGCCTCACTTCTTCATCTTTATGGAAATACTGAAGTCCAGGAAAGAGATTACGCCCAGGCCAGGCAGACTCACATGCTGAGACTTCAGGGCATGGACTGTTTTCTCTTATTTCTCTCAAAATCCAGTCCATTTGCCTAGGTCAGGAGCTTGGTGCAGGATAGCTGAACTGAGTAATAATAGAATGGGGGATTCTATAAGAATTTGCTTCCTTTTCTGCATAACCACATGTTTTCCTTCCCCAGAGGGCTATTGATCAAGAGCAGCAAAGGCATATGAGAAAGTTATTAAATCCTTTAAGACCTGAATTTGCTAATGGCTTTTTCTCTTAAATGGGAGCCTAATTGCTGCACTAGTCCAAACATGCCTATATGGCTTGCTCACATGCATAGAACTGGTGTATGGAGCCAGAAAACAGGTATAGTGAGTAGGAGAACCAGAGATTCCTACAGGATGAAGTGAACAGTTAGTTCCATGGTGGAGCCATTTAAAGAAAACCCCTGTGGGATCATTAAGGGAGACATTTACCTAGTGATAGGTGGATATCTTTGGATCATTTTATTTATGAAGTCATCTGAGGGAAGCACTTGGAATTGTCAAAAAATGACAACATCCTCATAGCTATATTTTAGCCACTGCTGCCATGCTTAATTTTGTTTTAAGCCACACACCTGCTAGGGGAAGGGACTGAGAAAGCCTGCTTTCCTCCCAGAGTAAGAGGGACAGGAAACAGCCAGGAGAGGTGACATTTGGAAGATTTAACCACCAGTATGGCCTGGGCACTAACCATTTACAACAGATGTTGGCTGTAAACAACTGGTATGGACCATAATAGTAGGTACCAGATGCAATTCAGTCCTGGCAGCAAGGGAGCAAGGGAGGGGAATGGCAGCCAGGAGAACAGCACAGAAAAAAGACCAATCTTGCTCATTCTCTCCTTGTCTTCTGCCACAGAGTGTTTTTTCTTTCTGGTTCTTTCCCCCATGGTCATCTAGTTTTTCAGTGTGCTTTCTGCCTTGTCCTGTCAACCTCTGGTGAAGAGATGGGAGGAGGAGGCTCCATTAAGCTCAAGCTGAAAGCCACTTCTGGATTCCCTCTGCTACATCAGTCACTGTGTCCTGGCCCACACTGGAAGGCAAGACCCCAAGGAAGAATCCCTTTTCCCCTTTATTTCCCAATCCACAGGTGACATACCTCCGGAATAAGGACTGAATTCATCCAGTCAATCTCGGATAGCTTTTCAAACTCCTTATTCATGGCATCCAGGGAAGTTTGCAGTATGGTCTCATCCTCAGCACTTCTTAGCTGGTGAAGACAGGAAAAAGAGTGAGTGTCCAACACCTAGCACATTGCCTTCATAGACTCTTGCCTTCTACCCAACTCCCAGTCCCTGCTAGTGGCCATGAGACCACAGGGTGCCAACTTGTGTCACCTTTGGCCCAGGGGGTCCCTGGAAAGTATAGCCAGATCTTTACTTTCTCAATAGGGAGGGAGATCCAGGAAACGCCCAGATAGGGATGCTTTTCTTGGAGCTGGGCATGCTCACAGTTTGGTAAGCAGAGAGGCCTTTGACCAGTGTCAATGAACGCTGAGTTGTACCCCTACAGCTTAGGGTGTAGGACAGGGTCCTATCCTTGACTCTCAAGTTCCTGGAGGCCTCTTAGCATCCCCCTAATAACAGCTACCAGTTTGGGAGCACATATTATATGCCAGACACTGTGGATACATGATTTCATTCTGTCTTCCCAATAACTTGATAACACCTTGCAAAGTACTACTCTTCTCACTTTATAGGTGAGAAAGCAGACTCAAAGAAGTTTAGTGCTCAAGATCACATGGCTAGATAGAAACCCAGATCTACTTAACGCTATAGCCTGCCATCTAATACCACATCGTCCCAGAAAGGATATATGGGGTGGCCAGATGCTGGGGCGGATCTTTGTTACGCAGTCACCATAATTTAAAGACTGCTTTGTGAAGGAAGGAGAGAGTTAGAGAGAGATTGGCTCAGATTTTCCCTTCCTGGCAAAGTGGGTCTGCCTCACCAGGCTGTGCTTTTAGCCGCTAGCTATTCACTCTTAGTAATGAAGAAATGAGTTCCAGATGGCTTGTCCCACAGGTTCAAAAAACAAAGCTTAAGCATCCCCTATTAACCCCGGGCACCCACAGGATTAACTCTGGACGGTCTATGGGAGATTTAAAAATAGATTCTTCTGGGACCATCTCCAACTCAGAACCAACTTCTAGACCAACAACATAGGTGAGATAGTTTATGTTCTATTAAATAGTGAGCTGAGAGAACAGATGCATGCTGATATCATCAGCCCTGACGTGCTTTGCAGCCCACCTAACTTGGCTTCCACTCTCCTCCTTGGCATGAACTCTACTTTCAATCTGGTACTTATGTGGCTTCTTGCTGTGCATGGGCCAGCCTTATGTGAAACCTTGCCAACTGCCACAAATGGGTGGCAGGTGAGTGAGTGGGGGATGGGATTGGAAGTTACGACCAAGCAGCATGGGAGATGAGTGAGAAACAAGTCATGCCGACAGATCATCTCTTGCTTTTGCTTTATGACTAATGATTTAGGGCAGTCCAGAGTATCCCAGATGCACAGTACATGTGTGTGCACATGGTGGTGGGATGGGGAACAGTGGTGTCAGGTAGAAATGGCCATCACTTCAAGATAAGGGGGAGAGGGCCAGGGAGGACATAGGGGCATACTTACCAGCAATGCTCAAGAGGGATTTGGTAGTGAAACCCAAGCCACAGAGAAGAGGAATTGGGGGCCTTAGAAAATGATTCCTAATCATAACAGGAGAGGAATAAAGTGGCTTCCCAGTGACTTCCTATTTGGCATCTAGGGACTCAGGCTCCAAAAAATAGTATACTGGGTGGGCTTGAGTCTCATGCTCTATTCTCCTGTCCTTCTGGCTCCAGTAGAGACCTTGTCCAGGACTCTTCTCTGAGATTAATGTGCAGACTGACTCAGAGGTCTCTGTTGTTCATTTCCTGGTTCCCGTCCTAACACATCACTAAGTGTGTTTGCCAAAATAAGGGAGGTAGGAGTTACTGGGTGGGATTTTCACCAGAAGGCTATATCCCTCTCCCAACACTGAACTCCTTATTGTCTTCCTTCTTCAAGGGGAAGGATAATAACATTCAAATGAAAGAAGCCTTATGTCCATGCCACCTCTATGCTATGACCTTGGAGACACATGGTCATTCTTACTTAGTTGCCATTTGCACCCAGGTTTCACTGGGATGTGTGTAGGTGTGTGGGGGTCCTTACCAGGTTCTATATTAAGTGTGGTATGTGCTCAGTTTGGGTTGTTAGCTGGTACAAACCCATTTTCATGAGCCCATGAGTCTGAAGAAAGCCAGAGTGGCAACGAGAGGCCAAGCTCCCATAATTCCTGCTGCCCAAATTGGCAAGGCTATTGAATTCTGCCTATATATAATTGGTACTTCTGTTGCTGTCACAGAAGACTGAAAGACTCTAGCTTGGGGCTCAGATGCTGGGATAGCCTGGCCTTATTGCTTGAGCCACTCTGCCACCTGTGCAGTGTGCCAATTAGATGTGCAAATGGAAAAGGAGAAGTGGATGTACTTCTTACAAAACCAACTCAGAAGCCCCTCTTCAAATAAACTTTAATTAGATGAGAGGCAGTAACAACACCTTCCTCAGGGCCTTAGCAGTGAACTTCAAAGTGGGGTGGTCATGATCAGTTGGCTCATTAGAGCACAGTCACCAAGTGTGCCTATGGGCTCTGCATTATGAGAAACATGCAACTCTTCTTGTAGCTCTAAAACTGAGCCTCAGTCCATTTTCTCTATACACTGAAAAAAAAATCTACCATCTATCAAGCTGCTAGGCAGAGCTAGGCACTCAACAATACAGTAGTTTGCTCACAACAACAACCTGGAGAGGCAGAGATTACAATTCCTGTTTTGTAGATAAGAAACTGAGACCCAGAGAAGTGAAGTTACTTCACATAGCTACTGTTATGCATTCATTTGTGTCCCCTCCAAAAAGATATCTTGAACTCCTAACCCCTTAGTACCTTCGAATGTGACCTTATATTGAAATAGGGTCATTGCCGATGTAATTAGTTATTAAGATGAAGTCACTGGCCTGGTCTGGACCCTGGAGTAGGATAGGCCCTGATCCAGTATGACTGGTGACCTTTAAGATGATGGCCATGTGAAGACAGAGACAGGGAGAGAACCATGTGAATGTGGAGGATTAGAGTAATGCATGTATAAGCCAAGGAACACACCATAGATTGCCAGCAAGTCACTGGAAGCTAGGAAGAGGCAAGGAAGGATTTTCCCTACAGGTTTCAGAGGGAACATGGCCCTACTGACATCTTGATTTCAGCCTTCTAAGCCTACAGACCTGTGAGACAATCCATTTCTGTTGTTCTAAGTCACCCAGGTTTTAGCGCTCTGCTACAACAGCCTTAGGAAATTAGCTAGAGGCAGATTTGGGATTTGAACCCAGAGACCCCCCAACTTTCCCCACTATTCCATATTGTCTTCCCACATGGTGAAAGAGATAGGTGGAAACTTGGGAGATGCAGAGCAGCTCCAAAGGGCTCACCCTTTTCTCCTGAAGCTGTATTCGGTATGGCGAGAACACCCTGCTTCTGTTCTGCCTGATCTAGACCCAGGAGACATTTGCCAAAGGAAAGTGAGAGACTTTGCTTCAAGGATATGGTAGTCTCTGTGGATTAGCATAACCTATGAGGTGACAGAGTCAATGACAACCCTGGGTGAGGATGACACAGCAGGGACTGCCAGGTAAACACATGGCCAAAATGCTCCTACCTGTCTCCCAATACCCTAGAACCAAGCACAGACTGTGACCATCTTCAGATATGATACTTTGCCCTCCCTTTTTCCAACCCCCTCCACTCACCAAGTTTTCATCCAGGAAAGCTTTGGTGTCATCGTAGAGCCCTTTAAGACTAAATGTAACATCTACTGCGTCATTTCTGCTTAGAGTCTGAGAGGAGAAGAAAGGAAGAGAAAGGAAGGGAAAGGACAAAGACAGAGGAGTTGTTGGTTAGTCAGCATGCAGCTGGCTTCTCTGTGGCAAGGTAGGAGCAGGCTAGTAGGATGTGGCCGCAGGTGAAAAAGTAACACTCAAAATATAGCACAACTAGTAGTACGACATGGGCACCAAGCAGTCAGAATGGATGCCAGCTGTCAACTTCTGGTACAGCTGCATTGGTGTGTCCTGTCTCATGGCATAGCACAAGATGGCATTTGGCACCATTGATTGAGTATTGCGGGTATAAGGAAATAGGAGATATGCAAACCAGAGAGTAAGTTTGAGGCCACTGGTTGCCACTAGGCTAAAGCCACCTTTCCCATGGTAGGTGGAGTTAGGCCTAACCATCTCTCTTCATGAAACTCCAGGCCTCCTCCAACTAAGATCTGGCCCCAAATAAATAGGTAACCAACATTTCAGGAGGCCCTAACCCTGAATGTGGCCCTTTTGTATCGTTTGCCTTGCATTAAAGTTACTTTTTAAAAGCATCACTTAAATTGTCTGCCAGGGGGTTAAAGTCATGAGATGGTACATTTTACATCAAGTATCCTAATCTAGACCTTTCCCTCGAGAGGGAAACCAAGGCAGCCTGGAGCTCAGGTTTCAATGACAAATGTCATCTTAACAGGTTATACAGTGATCCACCTGGGATGAGGAAAGGCCAAAGTCAAGTTTCTCTCCATTCATAAGACTATTTCTCCCCTGAGGCCAGTGTGGTAGGAAGCTCTCAGGCTGGTGAGATGTGCTATGGGATTCTTCCAGTCGCCACTCTGGACCTGTAACAAGTCAAGGAATACCTAACCTTCCCCTCTACTCTATCCATCAGTTTCCTGCCATACCATTTGCCCAGTTTCTCCACCCAGTCTCCAACCCCACTCCGTTCCCTTCTGTCCCCTTTCCTATCTAGTTTGACTCCTTTCTTCATCTGCTGCTTCCCTACTTACCTCAATGGGACTGCAGAAAGCTGCACCTGCCTCATTGCTACTGTCTTGGTTGTAAAATGTATCGTTCAGGATGTTAGCACTGGCATTCACAGAATCCATGAGGACAGACACATGCTGGTGGACCTTGCTCAGGTCAGTAAGTCTGTAATAAAGCAGGGCCAGATAAATGAGTCTAGAGTTCTGAAGGACTTCTGGCCTCAGATGATGGTGAGGGTTGGGATTAAGGGTAAAAAGGAAAGCCCTGGGTACCCCAATTGTATTCTTTACTCCCTCCTCTTCTTTCTACTCATTTCGAGGTAACCACTGATGCCAGAAGATGTTCATCCTCTTCTCTGGGCATTCACTTTTTCCACCCTTGTCTCACCTGAATTAGATACTGGGTGCTTTAGGAGAGTGAGAGGCCAGAATAGAGGCAGGTGGCTGACTCCAGGGACTCTAAGGCCCTCCTGATGTTTAAGGACAAGGATAAGCATGTTTAATCCTGTTGGCTCTGGGGCAGCAGGAGGGGTTCAAAATTCATCTTTGGGCCTAATGGGAGAGATCCAAGCTGGCTTACTGCTGACCACAAAGACTATTTCCTGCCTGGATTGTCAGGGCCCCTGTCATCTTCAGAGCTCTGGGCAAGACTCCTTCCTGAGGCCAGGCTCTGCCGTACCCAATAGACACAAGTTGGCTTCTTCTGCCTATCCCCTCTTGGGATGGGATTCCCAGCCCTGTATCTGGGTCAGTCCACTTACCTGCTGATGAGGCTTTCTGCAAGCTGAACTAAGTACTGCATCTGGGCATACTCCTCATCAGAGAGGATTTCTTGAGATTCCTGGGAGTCCAGCTGCGGTTGAGAGGCAGCTTGGATTTCAGCATGCTTGCACTCCCACATTTTCATGGAGTTCTCGAAATCCTGGAGATGGAGACAGTGGCAGAGCCTAATGATCACTGTAGCTAAGAGGGCATGTGACAGATCTGTCTGTGAGTCTGATATTTGCCGGTACAGTGGGTAAAGGGGAAAGAGGGCCCCATCCATTCCTCCATACACCCATCTCCACAACTATCCACCTAGTCAACATTTTATTCAATGTCTCTTTCATGCTAAGCACTTTCAGTTTTTGTTGCCATTGTTGCTGTTACTCTGCTAAGTCTTGGGACAATATACTGGAATCAGATAGATGTCTGCCTTCCAGAAGCTGCTATATGAAGTATATAATACTGTATGATCCTATGTGACCCTATCATATGATCTGATATGAAGATCGGTAAGACAGTGGAGTGCCTTTCATGGTCCCTTCTTTGCCAATAGGCAATATGTTCTGATGGATTTTAGAGCCAGACATATCTAGTTTAATTTTGAATTGTGCTTCTGTGATTTACTAGTTGTGTGACCTTTAGCAAGGTATTTAACCTCTCTGGTCCTCGTTTTCCTCACCTGTAAAATGGGAATAAGTATATCTACCTCATAGGATTATTGAAGAGGACCTACTTGAGAGAAGGCATGTAAAATGCCCAATGCAAAGTAGGCAGTTTATAAGCTAGACATCCCCTCCCTCCTCTATTGCTGTTTCTATGAACCATCCATGGGTCAGAGAGGAAGAATGCCTCCAAGCATTGAGCATCTGATCAATAATGGTTCCTTTTTAGCTTTAGGTAGTTTAGTTGAAGTGGGTGACATTTGTGAATGCAGTATTTTAAGAAGCCTTAGAGGAATCTAAAGGTCATATTCAATAAAGAATCTCTTGTGGAGGGAGCAGATTACTCCATAACCACCTGAGGCCTTTAGCTCTCTGTGCAGTGGAGGGAGGAGGACAACACTGTCTGAATCCACAGGAGGGGAGTTCCTTGTCTCAAGCTCTAAGACAGTGGTTTGCAAATATCAATATATATCAGAACATCTCAGGGAGCATGTCTGCAAATGCAAGTTCCCAGGAACTACCCATCCCCATTCTGATTCAGTGGGTCTGTGTGGGGCCTAGGAATGTGCATTGTAACAAGCACCCAAGGTGACTCTAAGTGTCATGCAGACCTCTCTTTGAGGAATTCTGCTTGACTAGAAGTATTCAGTCCCACAGTGATAGCTGTAGATGAGACAATGTAGGAGCCCAAGAGGAGCCTTCCCCTTCTTACCCGATCTCTTGTTAGCATCTGGGTGGCATTCTTGTATCTAATCTTGATAAGGCCCGGCCTCTGAACCCAGGCCTCCCCATCCACCTGCACTGGGATACCTTCTTCACCATCGATGGTTATCATCACTTCACGGCACTGCCAGAGAAGAGGAGAAGGGAGAATGGGGAAGTGGTGAGGGGAATGATATAACCACTATAGCCCAATCTGATAAACTCATTGCCTAAATGTATATCTGAACAGGACCGGTGAAAATATGAATCAGATTATCCCAGGGAGGAAACATGCTTCCTATGGGCTTTTTGCTCCTTCTGCCCTTACTACCTCTGTTTCCAACCTCAGCCAGCACCTGGCTGCCTACCAGATAACCTGCTACTGCCACCCTGCCACTCTTAGATGCTGCTTCCCCAGGGTTGTAGCCACAGAACTCAAACCCTTTTATTTTGTTTTATTTTATTTTTTTGGATTTTTAATTTCACTTACTGTATTTTTCAGTCCTAGAATTTCTTTTTGGTTCATTTAAAATAGTTTAGTATCTAGTTTTATATTGAAATTTTATATATCTGTTGAATTTTTAATAATAAAATTCCTATTCAAATTTTCAATATTCAATTTTTTATCTCCCTGAACATAAAGTAACAATTATTTGAATTCTCATTTTATAATTCTAATATCTGGCCTTTGTGAATATATTATATTTCTATTTCATCTGCTGATTCTTTTTTTTTGTCCTTTCTTTTTTAAAAATTTTTATTGAGGTAGTCAGTTTACAATGTTGTGTCAATTTCTGGTGTACAGCACAATGCTTCAGTCATGCATGAATATACATATATTCATTTTCATATTCTTTTTCACCATGAGCTACTACAAGATGTTGAATATGTTTCCCTGTGCTATACAGTATAAACTTGTTTATCTAGTCCACATATACCAGTCAGTATCTGCAAATCTCGAACTCCCAGTTTATCCCTTTCCACCCCCTCCCCCCTGGCAACTACAAGTCGGTATTCTATGGCTGTGAGTCTGTTTCTGTTTTACATACAAGTTAAACCCTTTCTGGTGCCCACCCACCCTATGCCTACCTGGGCGATGCGATGATGATGGAGGTTGATGATCCGGGACATTGCCATCTGTACGGAACCAAAGATTGCCACTACCTCCAGTTTCCCATCATCCATTGCAGGAGCCTCATATTCCTGAGGAGGAAGAACTGTGTCACACATCTCACCCTGGAGAAACTACACCTTGTCGATCGCAAGCAGGTATGCTTTGAAAGCTCCTGGTGAGAATGTTTCTAGTTCATGGAGAGTAGAGAAACTACATATTAAAAGAGGAAAGAGGGCCCCATCTATTTGTCCATATACCCATCTCCACACCTATCCATCTAGCCAACATTTTATTCAATGTCTCATACTAAGCACTTTCAGTTTTGGTTGTGATTGTTGCTGTTACTATGCTAAGTCATGGGACAACATACTGGAATCAGAAAGATGTCTGCCTTCCCGAAAAGCTCTTACATGAAGTATATATACTATATAATACTATGTGATCATACTATATGATCCTATCATATGATCCTATATGAAGATCAGGAAGCCAATCTTGGATAAGGGCACTGAGATCAAAACTCAATTCCTTTTGAGATCACAGCTCTTAGCTGGTTCCCTTGCTGTCCAGCATAGCATCATAAATCCCCCAAGGTCTGTCTCATTGGCCCCATGGCCTTCTTAGGTGAGCTCAGAGGAAAGGAGCCATGGCCAATTCCCCAAAAAACTTTATTGACAGACCTCCTTGGAGAAAAGAACATGGCCTGGGTAACCTTTCAAGGATCTATCAGGACAGAGGAGTAGAAAATTCAAAGTCCAGGCAACACCTAAGAATTGACCTGATCCTGGAGTTTTTGGTTGATTCTGGGGTGGTAACTGCCTTTAAAAAAAGAAAAGACTGATCAGACAGCTGCTGCTAATGACAGTGCCCAGCCCATCTCCTCCTTCCCCCTACAGTTCAGCTCTCCTTTCTTATAGACTTAGAGGGGTCAAGCCTTTCTCCCTCCCTGTTCCATACTCACTGTGGTTGCCGTGCTGCTTCCCCAAAAGTTGACGCCTCCAGCATAGCTGGTAATGTTGAGCACTACAATGCCTTGCAGGTTTGGCAAGGAGATGGCTTCTCCGTCACACTGAAAGGAAAGAGTAGCCTGTATTGTCTGGCTTTTCAGATACCAATGGGAAGGAACATGTATAGAGCTGGGGGAAGGGCTCTGTCTCCTCTTCTTGCTATCATTTTTTTATCCATAAAGTAGAAATCTATCTTCCTGCCTTCCTCCCATGAGCTGTGCGTGAGGATCAGAGTTAAAGCTTGGGAAGCACTAAGGTTATAGAGGAAAGTTGATTCCTGAGGTCATGATATTTCCTTTTTTTCATGCCCAGGAAGGATCACCCTCTTTTCCACTAACCTCCAGGTGGACTCGTTCTTCCAGTTTCCTGTAAGAGCGCTGGAAAAGTTCCTTGCTTCCCAGAAGGCCATACCACATCTTGTTTTTAAGGCGGCTACTATAGGGAGATAAGGGTAGAGAAAGGTAGTCAGAGGGTAAGCAATATAAAGATAAATGGATGAAGAAAAGTAAGAGGAGACACCATCTTATTTCTTAAGTGCCTTCTCATAGAGAGGAGTCATGTTGAATGGTAACTGAACACAAGAGGGAATGCTAGGATAGTGTAACTGATAATCTCATGCAAACACCTGCTGCAGTGGGTCCCCTTGAGCCCTCAGCATCTTGTTGATTTGTCACTTTTACTTGCTGCTGATATTGGTTCCAACTTGGAAGAGACAGGCTATATTTAGAAAGTAAGGCTCATAAAAAGCTATAAGCATAACTGGCTGGTACACACCGGGTACCCCAGCAAGTGCCACTCTGGGAGCTCAAGACTTCAGTGGCTTGGAATCAATTTCATTTGAAACATGTGAATCTTAGACAGTGATTTCTTTGAAGTATAACTTTTCTGGCAGAGTAGAGGGATTTCCCAAGATCAAACACTTCATTCAGTGATATAGAGTAGACTGAAGCTTACTAGGCAGACTATAAAGGAGGAGCCAGTGGAGAGAATATGGGACAGACAAGGATATCAGGAGACTTATGGTGGAGGTGGGAAGGCCAGGGTCCTGCTGACTGTAGAGTCTCTGATGAAAACAAGCAGGGCACTTACAATCACTGGAAAGGCTGGATAGAGTTTACTATGAGCTTTTAAAGTAGAGCCACAGAAATGAGCCACCACAGGGCATGAATTTTGGATGTAAGAAGGCTAGCACAAAATTATTTGGACTCTGCTTTAAACCATAAGTTCTTGGGCATTTTAGTTTCCTTAACTATAAAAATAGGAGTTTAGTTATATGGAAATGCAAAATACCTAGAACAACAAAGACAATTTTGAAAAAAGAACAGATTGACAGAGCCAGCATTTGATTCCAGGTAGTCTAGCTCTTGAGTTGGAGGCTGGGTACAGCTCAGTGGTAGAGTGCATGCTTAGCATGCACAAGGTCCTGGGTTCAATCCCCAGTACCTCAATTAAAAAAAAACTTACTATAAAGCTACAGTTATCAAGACAGTGTGGTACTTGCATAGTAGACCAATGGAACAGAAGTGAGAGTGTAGAAAAACCCTTACATTTATGGCCAACTGGTTTTCAACAAAGGTGCCAACACAATTCATTGTGGGAAGGGATAGTTTTTTAAAAATGGTGCTGTGGTAATTGGATGTCCATGTGCAAAAAGATGAACGTAGACTCTTACCTCAGACTATACACAAAGATTAAGTCAAAGCAGACCACAGACTTAAATGTAAGAGCAAAAACAAAAACAAAAATTTTGGAAGAAAACATAGGAGCAAATTCTTAAGATCTCGAGTTAGGCAAAGATTTCTTAGATATGGCATCAAAAGCCTGGTCTGTAAAAACAAATGATCAATTGGAACTCATCAAAATTCAAAACTTTTGTATTTCAAAAGATACTATTTTAAAAAAAATGAGAAGACAAGTGACAACAACAAAAAATGATAAGCAACTGGGAAACAATGTTTGTAAAAAAAACATATCTGATAAAGTACTGCTTCCTCAACCCAGGCCTGCTCTGAGAAAGAAGTTCTAGGGACAGGTGGTAGGGGTGGTGGTGTTGGGTAAAGGGCATGCTTCTTTTTACTTGTAGTCTCAATTTCCGACAAGAACTCTGAGGCTGCCTTAGGGTATGTCTCTAATGCAAAAATATCAGAAGGTGCCAAGTAGGCCAACACTGGATGGGGTAAAATCAGTAGGTCCAGGGGAACCAGGTTAGGAACACTAAGAACCAATAGGGTGATCTTTGATAGTTTGCAGTCTTGCCTAGCAAAAACAGACCTGAAACCACTATTAGGACCCCATCAAGTTCTCAGCGACAGAACAAAGATAGCCCATTTGCTGAATCGAGTCAATGCAATCTGTTTTCAGTAACAGTAACATAGCTGGGTTTACACAGCAGTCTCCAGGTCAAGACTATGTATGAAGGCAGCTCCAAATTCAAGATGCCAATGCTGAGTCCTCACATATCCGGCCAACATTTGGGCAAGTTATCCCACTAGGCTAACCTTGGAACCCATGTGTTTTTACTTCCAAAGGACAAACCTCTTTCTGATGCTGGTCTGCGAGGTAGGGGATGTAGGAATACATGTGTGTATGTGATTTGGGGTTGGCATGTAGGGTGGGGAGTTTCTTTTCCTTACTTGTATTGTCCTGGGTGCTCATCTCTTCTGGTGTTGAATTCCAGAGAAATTTTAGCATCTAGTCCAATTCCAAAATAGTTGTTCATGACACACTTTTCTTTGAAGCGTCTGAAATTAACCAAAGGGAAGAAGGGAATAGACATTGGTGCAGGAAATAAGTGCTTTTATCATTGAGCGGCAGACTATATCTGCATGATGGAAAACCGCTGAGGGGAGGCCTCCTGTACATTGGGAACAAGGCTTAATGTTCTTGAGAGGCACATGTAGATGTCTGATTGTGTTAACAACTAGCTTGTTAGCTGTAAGAGAGGACACCCAGCCAGTTGGGAGGATTCAATGGGATTGGGACTCATAATAAAGAAGTCATCTTTGTAGGCTGTCCTGTATGAATGGCCAGTATTTTCCCTACACATAGTAAAGGGAAATAAGAGTCATGAACTTATTCCCATAAAATACTTTTAAAATCTCAGCTAAAAAATATATGATGAGATTAAAGTCTGCAGTACTGTTCTCAGAGGTGTCTGAACTCCTTTGTAGCACTTTCACATCAAAGGGCAAAGTGACTACACATTTGAGGGAAAGAAAACTGATAAAAGAGGGTATATATATACACATACACACATACACACATACATACATACATACATACATACACAACAACAACAAATATCCAAGCAGTTTTTTTATTCTTCTGCATCCATCCACTAAAATCAGTAGTGTACTGGAGCTACTTCAGGCCATCTTATAAACTGATATGCCTATTACTTTCCAACTTTGCATTCGATGACGGTATATCAGTAGCTTGAAATAGGCCATGATGTGAGGGTTTACACCAGGAATAAATCAGGCCCCCCCCGACTGCCCTGAGAGCTGGTTGTTTAACATTTTTCAGCACACCATTGATCAAAACTCATTAGGTAGGTCCATTGAAGCCTCAGACATGAGCTTAAGCCAATGGTAAGGTAGAGGGAAATGGGAATTGGATATAGGAGCTTCAGAAACTTAAATAATTGTTAGCTGTGACTTTCCTTTGAGAAACTGAAAATAGGTACACTTTAACTACTTAATCATAGGGTTTTTCATTCATGACTAAACTGACCTTACATCTCTTACGTGAGATTTGCCTCCCTTGACCACAGACCAGAAATTGAGGTTCCTATAACTGATATAACTGATCTTCTTAATAGAACTCAAAATGAGTGGATGTGATGAACCGTGGCTACTGGGAAAATTCTAAAGAGACAGGGCTACTGAGACGGATGTCTTTAGATTTGCTACCTAGTCCCCTAAATGCCTACTTTTTTCTTAGCATCTCCAATCATTTACTGTTAAAGGCAACAGTGAAAAACAGGTCCTTAGAGATGAAATGAAATTATGTTTATAATAATAATAACAATAATAAGCAACAACCTAACTTTGAGTGCCAAACACTGCCCAATGCAAGTACTTTGGGTATATAAACTCAAAAAATACAGGAAACCTATGTGGCAAGTTCTACAATTATCTCTATTTTATACATGAGGAAACAGAAACTTGGTTCAATTATTTGCAGTCATGCAACTAGAAAGTAGAGTCAGCATTTGACTCTGTGTATCCTTAGATTATTCTCTTAACCAGAAAAAGGACAAAGCCACAACAAGGTGATAGGCCTAGATACTTACATAGTTTCAGGTGTAAAATATAAGTGCTCCAAATTGAGGTTATCTAGATCTTCACTTTTGAGAGAAGATATAGAAGACAAAGTACCAAGACGAGAACCTGGACACAAAAGACATTACCTTGGTATCAGATATAAACAAGAAAGCCCTTCCCATGACTTGCATTATACCCTACTTTCTCTGTTGGAGCAGAGTCAAGCTCAATGACTTTCTTCTAAATAATATTCAGGGTTTTCATTCCAAAGAGGGATCATCTTGGATGGACAGGGACTTCCACTGAGAGAATAGCAAGACTGGGATGCTTGCTTGCTGGCAGTGGAACAGCTTTAAATTTGGGGTTTCAACAGGCCAGCCTTTTCAAAGTATCTAACGGGGTCATTACTTCTGGACATAGGCATGGGATCTTATAGTGTGAGCTTTCTGGAGAAGATGGATGGATATCTACTGCAGAGTAGGATTATGGCTAAAGGGAGATGCATGAAAACACACCTTTATTCTCTGGGAACTAGAAGACAGAGATGAAGCTTAGAATAAAAGAAGAGAAAGATCCTTACGGTGTCTTGGGCTCATCTGGGTAACATCTTCTGAGTCATCTTCCAGGAAGAAAGTTGAACTAAAGTTCTTGACTGATATTGTCTGTCGGCTTTGCTCATCAAGAACTATAAAGAAAAAGTGGAAGGAAGGAAGGGGGGAAGGGAGAAAGGAAGGACAGAAGGAAGGAAGGAGGAAGGGAGGGAGGAAAGAAGGAAGAAAGGGAAGGAAAGGAGGGAGGGAGGATTGGTCACATTTCTTGAGCATCTCTTTTGTTTAGTTTATACCAGTCAGTGTGTGGGAAGACAACAGAGACTCCCATTTGATCATCACCTCTCCTCCATGATGCTGTTTGTGGTTTCACCTTTCTCACAGTATTAGCCCCATGTCTCTTTATATCCATGCCTGAGCTTTCTCTGTTTTGCTTGTTGCTCTTTTTCTATCACCCAGTAAACATGGTTATGAGTAGAAGCTCGGGGCCAGGGGAAGGGGGGACAGGGTGGGAAACCCTCTGCTCCTCTACCTCCATTCTCACCTCTTTTGTTAATTCATTTACTCATGTGACTTTTCTTCTTTTTTGGGGGGATAATTAGGTTTTTAAAAATTTTGTTTTTATTTGAGGTACTGGGGATCGAACCCAGGGCCTTGTGCATGCTAGGCATGCACTCTACCACTGAGCTATACCCTCCCCACACCCATGACTTTTGTTCTAAATGTAACCTTCTAGGACCATGCCATTCTTTCACTCAGGTGTCTCACCAATACCCAGAATATCTGAGAAGGCTCCTTCCTTTCACCAGCCTATATATTGTATAGCTCAGGGGCTCATCCTATGCCAAAGCTCATAGGTTCAATCCTTTCCCTACCTTTCTCTGTTCCATGGCCATGAACTGCACTTCTAAATCTGATTTATGTATTGATGGAGCAGACTGAGGGTTAGCTGTGAAAGGGTCATGGCTACATCAGATTAATCTGATCCCTGCTACTTGGAAACTACCTAAAGAAATAGAGGCTGTTTAATTCTTTCACAGTGGAGAAGGGAGATTTCCTTTTTTCCCTGGAAACTTGGCTGAGGTTGTACTGAAAGGTACCAAGGCAGGAGAATGTACCACAGCTAAAAGTCAAAGGCCAGCCAAAGGGACTTCCTTGCTACATGGACTTCTGCTCAATCTATCCAATAGCTCAGGTAGAATGCACTTGGTGTTATACCATTTTCTACTCTGTTTTTCAAAGAAGCATTGTGGAGAAGAAGTGGGAACCAAAATGTTAAATTAAGAAGTTGGAGAAGTCAAAAGAGCTTTCATACTGTGTTGGAAGCTTGCAGATTGTCATGAGTTATGGGAAATTCAGTCAATGCCAGAGCTGCCGGGACCACTCTCAGGGCCCTTGTGCCTGATTAATACTGGTTAATACATGCAGAGATGAACACTATTTTCTTTCTAAAATCGTCATAGGCTCAGTGGTTGGAAGGGAACAGGAGCAGGTGGAAAAAAATTCCATGGCTGGAGGTGGAAGCTGACAAGAGCTATGAGCCAAGCCACTTAGCAGCTGTAATTGTTTAGGATGAGTGTTAGTTCCAAAAATAAATAAGTAGCAAGAGTTGAGTGCCTGGGAGGTAGGAGGAGCCAAAGGCGCAGCTTATCAAGACAGACTTTTCAAATCATCAGAGCCTGAGGACTTCATTTGGATGCTATGTGAATGCAGAATCTAGTCAGGTTTTCATGGTGGTGTCAAATGGCTGACCCAGAGTGAGGAAGACAAGTAAACTATCCACAGGAACCTTCTCTCACCTCTACCTCAGTCACTACAGCCCTGGGACCCTTACCTTGTTTGACTTGGAATATGATGAGTTTCAAGGACTCCTGGAGATTCTGGGCCTTTGTGGCCAGCTCCAACTTGCACTTGGCTATGTGGTCTATCTGGGGGACAAAGGGCTTTCCATCTGCCTTCGCACTGTCTGCATATGCTGCACTCTTCTCAACTGCTGCATCCTCAGCCAGGATATCAATCAGGACACTAAGCTTGTCATACATCAAGTCGCTCTGTATGGGGAGGGAGACAGAGCATTGTTATGAGGGATTAGTGCTTGAAAGGACAGAATGAGGAGTCAGATGGTATGGGGAGAGGAGGGGAGGCTTAATAGTTGGCCAGGAACATTGAGCATAGAAAGCTACAAGTGGGATGGAGAAAGTTTGGGGAAAGAACTACTTGGGTAGATGTGATAAGATAACCCAAGGATATTGGTGGGGGGGGGTCAAAGAAACATTATTTGTTTCTGAGCAGCTGCAGGCATAAATGTGTGTTGGCTAATCTTATGTCAGAATGGCCTGTAAAATTATATGTAACATGACAAACTTGAGGAAAGAGAAATATGTCTGGATTGACATTTTCATGAACATGCTCCTGTGGATGTGGATGTGGCTCTGCATGGGTGCCTGGTGTCTGCCTTTGTCTGTGTGTATGTTTGAGGGTGTACTGTGGGATTATGGCTTGATTCCCAGCTCCATCACTTAATAGTTTGTGAACTGAGGCAAACTGCTTACTCTCTTTGTGCTTTTATATTCTAGGGCAGTTGTGAAGATTAAATAAATTAATACATTATAAGTGCTTAGAATAGTTCCTGGCACAGAGTATGTGCTATATATGTGTTAGCAATTATTGTTACTGTTGTTGTTATAGAAGAGCATGTGGGTGTATTGTTAGTATATACTTGTTTATATTTTCAAGCATGTTCTGGTATACAACCACGTGCATACCTGCTTGATGTATACTTGTGTCTAGGTGTGGACAGATGTTTGACATCTGCTTAGGTACATGGCATGCAAAGTGCCACTCTTTATTTGGTGAAAGATAGAAGTTTGATGTGGATTTTCTCTGTCAGGGAGGCTTACTAGCTGCTCCTCCTTGCCCTTTTACAATTCCCAGCGAGAGGCACGTTTGCTTTTATTAAAAATGGAGCTCTCGTGCCACAAAGAGTACAAGACAAAAAGATGGAAACTTACTTTCAAAATCACAGACTCTATTGCTGTATTGTTCTGTTTTATCCGGCTCCAGGCCTTTACAATATCAACCACAAAATCTTCCACTGCTGAGCACAGGAATCTGGAAAGATAAGATAGATGGCACAATGTGACATAGACCATGAAGTCCAGAGCCTTTCTCTCTTATAATGTCATTAGTTTCCATCTTCCTCCTTCTCCATCTCTATTTCCTGATCTCTCCTTCCTCCCTCTCCCTCTGCTCCTACTCCCTCTCCACTCTTTGCTTACTCTGCTTCTTCCTGTGCATATGGTGAAACATGCCAGTACCTGAGAGAGTTTAACATTTCTTAACCCAAATTCCGAATTTCCAGAAAGCAGAATTCAATTGGTCCAACTTTGGTCAGGATTTCATCCTGGGTCAAATCAGGTACGGTTCAAGGGCCCAGCTAATTTAGTACAAACATAATGACATTTGTATGACTGTCCCTGTATGGGAGTGTTTCTCAAAGGAGAATATGGTAGACTTATCAGGAACCCTCCAGAGTCCCAGGAGGAATGAATGACCTACATATTTAGAAAGAGAGAATATGTTGCTCAGGTTATGAGAAAGCAGCTATATTAGGTACTACAGAGACCTTTCCAGGTATTAGATGGAAAGCAAGGTTCCTACTGTAGAGAGCAATGCTGTGCTCTTGAATAGTATTGAACATTGTGTTTCCCTTCTTGTAACCCTTCTTCCAAATCTATGGCTTACAAATTTTGTCTTTTTGGAGTAGGAGGAGCCCTCACTCTAATCTCATCTTTTTTTCCCCCTAAGCTTTCCATTCGGGAGGTTTGAGTTGGGAGAAATCTGATTGGGGAAGGTAAACATATGCTTTCCTTGGCCTCAAAACCCTAAGCTATTAAAATGAGCCCCATCTGTGACTGAGGAACAGCCCCTGAGGGGCAAAAACACCCCAAAGCTTGAGAGCCAAAGGAAGACTGACCTGGTTGCGATGATCATCTCTGTTGGGTACTTGGCCTTCAGGATTTTGTTCAACTCAGTGGTTGCAGATTCTAAGTGTTGGATAGCAGCAGCCTAGGGGGAAAGGGAGTGTTCATCCCTGAAGTCTTAGCACTGTGACATAGTGTGCTACCCATCACAGCCCTCTCAATATTTCTTACTGATGTCTTACCAGCAACTCAACTGCCTCTCTGAAAATAATCACAATTAAAGAATTCTTGTTGAAGATCTCCACAGCTAATCTTAGACCTGTGGTCATTTTAAAAATAAGAGACATATATATTGTTTCCTCTCATTTAAATTAATACTCAAAAACTTATATGAAGGAGGTATTATTCCAATGTTTCAAATGAACAAACAATCTCATATTACATAACTAGTAAATAATACATCTGTGATTTGAACCCACATCTTTCCAACCAGAGTATCCCCTCTTATATATAATATTAAAAATAATAATACCATCCACTTACATAGTATTTACTATGGGCTAGGCTCTGTTCTATGGGCCAGGCTCTGTTCTAAGATATGCATATTTTTCAGCTAATCTTTATAACAATCCTATGAAATAGAATTATTATCCCCATTTCACAGAACAAAAAACTGAAGCACAGGAAAGGGAGAGCTGATAATTGGCAGAACCAGGATTCAATTCCGGGTAGTCTGGCTCTTGAGTCTGCAGTCCTAACTATAACTTTTACTCATCCCTCTCCATCACCCACTACATTCAAACATCTACCAAGTCTTGATGATTCCATCCCTTCAATATGTTTTAAATATGTCCACTTCTCCTTATCCTTGTTACCACTTCATCAGTCCAAATTACCATCATCTTTTGCTTGGGCAGTTACAGCACCAACTATCTTTTTTCCTTGCCTCTAATCTTTATTCCTTCAATTGTTTCTCCACATATCATGGAAATATTCTGATAGATATATAATATATAGCAGATAGATGAAGTGTAGTGAAATACTAATGGTAGAATCTACCATTTAAAATTTCTTATATGTTTGAAATTTTCAAAATAAGAGAAGAAAAATCCTTCTATAATTCTCATTGCTCTTAGGATAAAAGTTCAAACTTCCTGGAAGAAGAGATCAAAATGGCACATTAAGAAGACATGGAACTCACTGCCCTGCCATGAACACATCAAAAGTACATCTAAATGTGGAGAAATTATCACCAAAAACTAACTGGAGACTGGTAGAAAGACTTTTGTACAACCCAGGCTGTAAGCAAGATCCACATGGAGTCAGGTAAGAAGGGAAAAGAAGCAATGAGGTTGAGACCTGTGCCCCAGAGAGGACACAGTAGATGGAGGGGATTACAAAGGCAGAGAGCCTCCCTGGTGAGCGAGCAGTTCAAGCCACATACTAGGCACCACATTCCTGGGGTCCAATACCGGGAAAACAAGTCCCCCTTAGCTGGTTAGAAAACCTGTGTGACTAACATGAGGGCTGTAAGAAACCTAGACACCAAGGGACTCAAATCAAGATGGTAGAGTAGGAGGACATGGAACTCACCTCCCCTGATGAACACATCAAAATACATCTACATGTGGAACAATCTTCACTGAAAACTAACAGGAAACTGGCAGAAAGACTCCTGTACAACCAAGGCTATAAGATAGATACATACAGTATCAGATAGAAAGGGAAGAGAAATGATCAGGTTGGGACCTGTGCCCCAGGAGGGGACTCAGAGGAAAGGGGAGATTACATGGACAGACACCCTCCCTGAGGAATGAGCAGTTCAAGCCACATATTGGGCACCCCAGTCCAACAAAGGGAAGACAAGCCCCCTTGGCTGGTTGGAGGAATGGTGGGACTAATAGGAGGGCTGAGCTGTGAAAATCCTGGGCATAACATCCATTCATGGTAAAGAGTCTCATCAAAGTGAATATAGAAGGAACATATCTCAACATAATTAAGGCCATTACAATTAACCCACAGCCAACATCATACACAATGGTGAAAAGCTGAAAGTCTTCCCACTAAATTCAGGAACAAGACAAGGATGCCCACTCTCACCACTTCTGTTTAACAAGTACTGTAAGTTCTAGCCACAGCAATCAAAGAAGTAAAAGAAATAAAATCATCCAAATTAGAAGGGAAAAGATAAAACTGTCACTATTTGCAGATGACATACTTTATATAGAGAACTCTAAAGTCTCTGCCCCCAAATATTAGGACTAATAAATGAATTCAGTATTACTATACAGAAATCTATTGCATTTCTATATACCAATAATGAAATACCAGAAAGTGAAAGTAAAAAAAAAAATCACCCTGTTTAAAATCATACCAAAAAGAATAAAATACCTAGGAATATACTTAAGCAAGGAAGTGAAAGACCTATACTCTGAAAACTGTAAAAGACTGATGAAGGAAATTGAAGATTATTCAAAGAAACAGAAAGATATTCCATGCTCTTGGATGGGAAGAATTAATATTGTTAAAACGGCAATAGAACCCAAAGCAATCTACAGATTTAATGCAATCCCTATCAAAATACCAATGACATTTTTCACAGAACTAGAACAAATAAGAATCCATATGGAATCACAAAAGACCCCAAATTGCCAAAGCCATCTTGAGAAAAAAGAACAAAGCTGGAGGTATAACTCTCTCAGACTTTAGAATATACTACAACGACACAGTAATCAAAACAGCATGGCAAAAACAAAACAAAAACAAAAACAAAAAACAAAAACAAACAAACAAACAAAAAAAAACAAAAAAAACCCAGCATGGCATTGCTACAAAAACAGACACCCAGATAAATGGAGCAGAACAAGGAACCCAGAAATAAACCCATGCAGCTATGGTCAATTAATTCATGACAAAGGAGGCAAGAATATACAATGGAGAAAAGACAATCTCTTCAGCAAGTGGTACTGAGAAAACTGGACAGCCACATGTAAAACAATGAGATTAGAATATTCCCTCAGACCATATAAAAAATAAACTCAAAGTGGTTCAAAGACCTAAATGTAAGCCATGCCACCAAAAAACCCCTAGAAGAGAACATAGAACACTTGTTGACAAAAATTGTAACATTATTTATTTTTGGATCAGTCTCCCAAGGCAAAAGAAATAAAAGCAAAAATAAAGAAATAGGACCTAATTAAACTTGAAACTTTTGCACAGCATAAAACATTCATTAAAACAAAAATACAACCTATGAAAGGGGAGAAAATATTTGGAAATGATGTTGCCAACAGGGGTTAATATCCAAAATATACAGACAACTCAGATAACTCAATATCAAAAAAAGAAACAATCCAATCAAAAAATGGGCAGAAGACCTGAATAGACATTTTTCCAAAAAAGACATACAGATGGCTAATAGGCACATGTAAAGATGCTCAACATCACTAATTATTAGAGAAATGCAAATCAAAATAACAATGAGATCAACTCACACCTGTTAGAATGGCTATCATCAAAAGTCTACAAATAATAAATTGCAGCAAGCATGTAGAGAAAAGGGAACCCTTGTACACTGTTGGTGGGAATGTAAATTGGTGCAGCCACTATGGAAAACAGTATGGAGGTTCCTCAAAAAAAAGTATATGTATATATACCAAATTCTTATACATATCATATCTTAATACATACACACACAAAATGGAATATTAGCCATAAAAAAGAATGGAATCTTGCCGTTTGCAGCAATGTGGATGGACTTAGAGAATATTATGCTTAGTGAAATAAGTCAGAAATAGACAAATACTGTATGATATCACTTACATGTGGAATCTAAAAAATACAAATGGACATATGTATGCAACACAAAAATAGACTTACAGACATTGTGTTTACTGAAGGGAAAGAAGAGAAGAAGGGCAAATTAGGGTATGGAATTAACAAATAGAAAGTACTATGAATAAAATAGATAAGCAACAAAGATATACTGTATAGTAAGGCAATTATAGCCATTATCTTGTAATAACCTACAATGGAGTATAATTGCAAAAGTATTGAATCACTATCCTATACAATATAATATTGTAAACCAACTATACTTCAATAAAAACAATTTTTTAAAAGAAATAAGTATAGGAAAGGAAAAATCCCATTAATAAAGGCAAATACATGGTAAAGGCTGAAGATCAACTACTTATATAAACTAGTACAATGAGTAAAAGAAGAAAAATTGTAAAATAAATTATAAATACAATAATCAGTAAAGGGGTAAACATGAAGTGTAAAATATGACATCAAATTACAAAGTGTTGTGGGGAAGGAGTAAAAAAGGTAGATCTTTAAGAATGTGTTTGAACTCAAAGGACTACCTGTTTAAAACAAATAGATATAGATGAACATATATGAACCCTATGGTAACCAAAATTTAAAAAATCTGTAATAGATTTACACACAAAAAAGAGAAAGGATTCCAAAAACAACACTATAATCATCAAATCTCAAGGGAAGAGCACAAAAAATAAGGGATAAAAAAGAATGACAAAACTCCCAAACAACTACCAAAATGGCAATAAGTATATAATTATCAATAATTACTTTAAATGTAAATGGACTAAACAATCCAATGAAAAGACAGAATGGCTTAATGGATACAAATACAAAACACATATATCAAAAAATACATATATACATATATATGCACAAAATGCCTACAAGAGATTCACTTCAGATCTAAAGACAGACATACACTGAAAGTGAGAGACAGTCTCTTCAACAAGTGGTTCTGGGAAAATTGGACAGCGACATGTAAAACAATGAGATTAGAACATTTCCTCAAACCATATACAAACATAAAGTCAAAATGGTTAAAGACCTAAACGTAAGGCCTGAAACCATAAAACTCCTAGGAGAGAACATAGGCAGAACAGTCTTTGATATACATTGTAGCATGCTAAGCCACAAAACAAACCTCAGCAAATTTAAGAGGCTAGATATTATATCAAGCATTTTTTTCTGACCACAACAATATGAAACTAGAAATCAATTACAGGAAGAAAAGTGAAAAAACACAAACATGTGGAGACTAAACAACATGATACTAAAAAACAAAACAAAACAAAAAACAATGGGACAATAATGAAATCAAAGAGGAAATCCAAAAATACAAATGAAAATGGAGTCAAAACTTTCCAAAATCTGTGAAATACAGCAAAAGCAGTTCTAAGTGGGACTTTTACAGTGATAGAGGCCTACCTCAAGAAACAAGAGAAATCTCAGATAAACAACTTATCCTACCACCTAAAAGAATCAGTAAAAGAACAAAGCCTCCAATGTCAGTGGAAGAAAAGAAATAACACAGATCAGAGAGGAAATAAATAAAATAGAGTCCAAAAACAACAGAAAAGATCAACAAAGCCAAAAGCTGGTTCTTTAAAAGGATAAAATTGATAAAGGCTTTAGTGAGGCTCACTAAGAGGAGGAGAGAGAGGACCTAAGTAAACAAAATAAGAAATGAAAGAGGAAATGTAACAAACACAACCGCAGAGATTAAAAAAATAGTAAGTGAATACTATGAACAGTTATATGTCAACAAACTGGACAACCTAGAAGAAATGGACAAATTTCTAGAAATATACAATCTTCCAAGACTGAATCAGGAAGAAATAGACATTCTGAACAGACTAATCACTTTTGATTACAAAAATTTGATTTTGTAATTAAAAAAAGTTCCCAGTAAACAAAAGTCCATAACTGGATGGCTTCATAATGAAGTTGAACCAAACATACAAAAAAGAGTTAATACCTATCATCTAAAACTATTCCAAAAAACTGAAGAGAAAGGAACACTTACAAATTCATTCTATGAGGCCACTATTACCCTGATATCAAAACCAGACAAAGACACCACAAAAAAGAAAATTACAGTCCAATATCTTTGATGAATATAGATGCAAAAATCCTCAACAACATATTAGCAATCAAATCCAATAACATATAAAATAATCATACACCATGATCAAGTTGGATTTATTCCAGGTTCACAAGGGTGGATCAACATTCACAAATCAATCAATGTGATATACCACATTAACAAAAGGAAAGATAAAAATCACATGACCATCTCAGTAGATGCAGAAAAGGTGTTTGACAAAATTCAACATCCATTCATGATAAAAACTCTCATCAAAGTGGCTATAGAGGGAAAATATCTCAACATAATTAAGGCCATTACAATTAACCCACAGCCAACACCATACTCAGTGGTGAAAAGCTGAAAGCCTTTCCTCTAAAATCAGGAACAAGACAAGGATATCCACTCTTGCTACTTCTATTTAACATATTATTAGAAGGCCTAGCTGCAGCAATCAGAAAAGAAAAAGAAATAACAGCATCTAAATTGGAAGGAAAGTGGTAAAACTGTCATAATTTGCAGATGACATGATACTATATAGAGAGAACTCTTAAGTCTCCACCAAAAAACTATTAGAATAAATGAATTTAGTAAAGTTACAGTATACAAGATTAACAGACAGAAATCTGTTGCTTTCCTTTATGCTAATAATGAACTATCAGAAAAAGAAAGCAAGAAAACAATCCTGTTTAAAATTACATCAAAAAGAATAAAATACCTAGGAATAAACTTAACCAAGGAAGTGAAAGACCTATACTCTGAAAACTATAAAACAGTGATGAAGGAAATTGAAGATGATATAATGAAATGGAAGTATATCCCGTGTTTAGGATTGAAAGAATTAATATTGTTAAAATGTCCATAGTAGCTGAAGCAACAGATTTAATGCAATCCCTATCAAAATACCCAGGATATTTCTCATAGAACTAGAACAAATAATCCTAAAATTTATATGGAACCACAAAAGAACTGGAATTGCCAAAGTCATCTTGAGAAAAAAGAACAAAGTGGGAAGTATCACACTCTTTCACTTCAGACTATACTACAGAGTTACAGTAGTCAAACAGCATGGTATTGGAATAAAAACAGACACATAAATCAATGGAACAGAACAGAGAGCCCATAAATAAATCCACACACTTATGGTCAATGAATCTACAAAAAGGAGGCAAGAATATACAATGGAGAAAAGACTGTTTCTTCAATAACTGGTGCTGGGAATACTGGACAGCTACATGTAAAAGAACAAAATTAGAACATTTTCTCATACTATATACAAAAATAAACTAAAAATGGATTAAAAACCTAAATGTAAGACCTGAAATCACAAAAATCCTAGAACATAGACTGAGAACAAAGGCTGTATACTCTTTTACCTAAATCACAGCAATATTTTTTTCAGATCTGCCTCCTAAGGCAAAAAAAACAAAAAGAAAAATAAACCAATTGGACCTAATTAAACTTGAAAGCTTTTGCACAGCAAAGGAAACCACTGATAAAATGAAAAGGCAACCTACTGAATGGGAGAAAATATTTGCACATGATATGACCAATAAGGGGTTAATATCCAAAATGTATAAACAACCCATACAACTCAACATCAAAAAACCATACAACCCAATTAGAAAATGGGCAGAAGACCTGAATAGACATTTTTCCAAAGAAGATATACAGATGGCCAACAGGCACCTGAGAAGATGCTCAACATCACTAATCTTCTGATCAATGCAAATAAAAACCACAGTGAGGTACTCACACCTGTCAGAATGGTGACACCAAACAAGTGTTTGTGAGGATATTGAGAACAGGGTACCCTAGTACACTGTTGATGGGAATGTAAATTGGTGTAGCCACTATGGAAAACAGTATTTCCTCAAAAAACTAAAAATAGAACTACCATATGATCCAGAAATTCCACTCCCAGGAATATATTTGAAGAAATAAAAACACGTAATTGAAAAGATACATGTACCCCAGTTTTATTAGCAGCATTATTTATAATGACCAAAACATGGAACATATCCACCAACAAATGAATGGATAAAAAAGTGGAATGTATGTATGTGTGTGTGTGTGTTTATACTGAAATTTTACTATTTATAACAACATGGATGAATCTAGAGGGTATTATACTTAGTGAAATAAGTCAAACAGAGAAAGACACGTACTCTATGTTACCTATATCTGTGGGATCTAAAAAATAAAACAAAAGGATGAATATTACAAAACAGAAATGGACTCACAAATAAGAGAACAAACTGGTGGTTACCAGTGGGGAGAGGGAAAGTGGGAAGGGCAAGGTAGGGGTATGGGATTAAGAAATATAAACTACTGTGTATAAAATAAATAAGCAATAAGGATATATTATATGGCACAGGGAAATATAGCTATTATTTTGTAATACCTTTAAAATATTGAATCACTATGTTGTATATCTGACACTAATATATTGTAAATCAACTAAAATTTTTTTTACAAGTTTAAACTTCTGCTATGGTTTACCAGGTCTTTCCTGGCCTGGCCCCTGATTACTTTTCCAGCCTCATCTTTGGTCACTTTCCCTGCATACCCACTCCCTGGCACCTATGCCTCAGCCACTACAAATATATTTATGTTCTGTGAATACTACTTGCTGTCTCTTTCCTTTGTAACAACACACATTGTTCCATCTGTCTGGAACAGGCCTCTTCTTTCTTATTATCCTGATTAACTCCCTTTGGTCCTTGTATCTCTTCCAAAATGTCACTTCTTCTGGGAAGTTTTCCCTGATTTCACCGAGACTGGGCTAGGTACACCTGCTGGGTATTCCCATTCCCCTCTATTTCCTTATATACTAACACTCATACTACTTTATCAAATTATTTTTCTACCACTGCAAGTAGACTATGAGCTCCAGGACAGCATTGACTGTATCATTCTTCTTTACCAATTAGCATATAAGAACAGCTCCTAGAACAGTATCTCACACATTGTGTAGTTAATCCATAAATATTTTCCATAAATTATTTTATGTTTTACAGTAAGGACTTTGAATTTATTTTTCTTTAAGTTGCTTGTAATTTATGTTATTACAAATAGTTCTAATAAACATATTTTTCATCCTTTTTTTAATTTTTAAAATTTTTATACAATTTTAAAGGTTACTTTCCATTTACAGTTATTACAAAATATCAGCTATATTCCCCAAGTTGTATAATACATCCCTGAGCCTATCTTACAGCCAGTAGTTTGTACCTACTATTCCCCTGCCCCTACGTTGTTCTCTGCACCACTGGTAACCACTAGTTTGTTCTCTATATCTGTGAGTCTGCTTCTTTTACATTACATTCACTAGTTTGTTGTATTTTTCAGATTCCACATGTAAGTGATATCGTACAGTACTTATTTTCCCCTGTCTGACTTATTTCAGTTAGCATTTTCACTTACGCCCTCCAAGTCCACCTGTATTGCTGCAAATGGCAAAACTGGATTTTTAAAAAATGGCTGAATAGTATTCTGTTATATATATATATACCACATCATCTTTATCTATTCATTGTTGATGGACACTTAGGTTGTTCCATAAATATTTTGAGTGAATAAATAATTAAATGGCTGACCAAATTATAGCTCCCAACACCTAACACAATTTTTGGTAAATAACTGCTGATTGAAATGTCCCCAATCCTCAATGATCTCCTCCTCTTCAAACCCATGGACAATACAAAAGCCTCTCTCTGGGTTTTGCCTATTATTTCTATGTGTAATAAAGATATTGGCCTGAATTATAGGTAGGCAGTAGTTACCTCAAATCGGGGTACGTCCATTTCAACTTGTCCTCTTAGCAATGGGGTTTGTCTGGGAGTCTCACGGATCATCACACTCCATCTAAAATGAAGTTTAAAGAAAGATCTTGAGGGCTCTGTTTCATTAAAGACTGGCATCATGCTTCACATGCCAAGAAAGAGGTCAAAATGTTTTATGTGGTGGGGCATGATGAGTGGTAGGGCATGTACAAGCTATCTCCGGTCACCTGATCTCAAGGTGTACCCCAAGAGGGACCTCTGCCTCATGACTTCTCAAGGCCAGTGTGATGGAAGGAATTCCATCACGGAGTTCACAGAGAGCTGTGCTTCTCAAGCAGTGGTAACTATCAAGATGATCTCAGGTACTTTTGTAAAAGACACATACCAGGGCCCAATCCAAGAACTACTGAATATTTGTGGTAGGGCCCAGCTTGGTACCTTGAAAAAGCTCCCCAGGATATCTTTCTGAGCAGCCATAAATCAAATACTATGCCCCTACATAGAAAGTCTTTCTTAGAAGATTGGAGGGCAATAACTCTCTCTTCTCTAGAGCACAGATAATCTAGGCCTATTGTTTATGAACCCTCATTGTTTTCAGTTTCTTTGAGAACCTAATGAAGCCATAGAATAGTTTCTATACTATCCTAGAATAGACTAGAAAGATGGAAACTTTCTCAAGGAAAAAAAATATGCTTACACAGATAATTAGCTTTGCACTTTGAGGGAGGTTAACAGAACCCTTGAACTTTACCAATGGGGTTCCTGCTCTAGGATCTTATAAATTTGAAGAGGGGATTCAGTGATGTTTAAAGAATACATGGTAGACCTTGGCTTCTTAATAGACAAGGTCCCCAAGATTTCCCTGTACTGAAGCCAGAAAGGCAATGAGGCTCTGTGAGGGAGTTTGGAGCATTCCTGATTGAGATGATGTAACTGGGAGTAACTGGCATGGGACTGGAAGAGCCACAACAGCCTGAGATCTTTCAGCCACTCACCTGTCTAGAATCCTCACACTAGCTTGCTCCACTCTGTTGAGGATGTTCAGAGGCGACTTGTTTTTGTTCCAGAATGCACCCCAGCCTAGGACACGGGCCAGATCATTACCGGTTCCAAGCGGGATGACTGCCAGCTGACACTGCAAGAACAAAATCAAGTACCCTTTTCAGACAATCTTACCACGATCCAACCATAAAAGAACACAGCAGGTGCTATCTGGGAAAGAATATGGTCTCAAAGCCAGTGGCATTAAGGGACTTCTGATTTTAGGAAGATGCTTGATGTTGAGTAAAATTTTCCCTAAGGAATTAGGTCTTGGCAATACAGAACCTACTCAGTAAGGGGAAAAGTTGTTGGAATATGCCAATATTTATAGCCATGCTTATAAAAGAGAAATATAGCCACAAATTTCTATCTAGGCTGGGCCAAGGAGGTGAGATGCTTCAAGGAGACAAAGCTCCTCAGGCAGAAGGGCAGGGGGCTGCTTACAGAGATGGGGGAGAGGTAGAGGAATGTTTCTGCTACTCTTGAGACTTCAGGGAAGAAAATCAGTGGCCTCAGGAGGGGTAGGGAATTGGGGGCTGAATGCTTCCTGATGCCACTTCTATTTTGCTTTCTTTCCTACACTTCAAGTCCTTACTTTGGGACTTGGGGAACAGAACACTGCTCATTTTTTTCTGCTAACTTTTTCATTTCTCCTTCCCACAGATAGACAACCAGAAAATGGTATAGATGAGCAGGCTTAGATTGCGAATCTACCAGTCAGGTTGACTATGAAACCAGTAGGAAATGTGTATTTTTCAGACAAGGAGAGTAAAGACCAGGGACTCCTTGGGATAAGCAGTTCCACCCCCCAGTACCTCTAGCATGGAGTCTAAGCTAAGTCAGCTAGGGACTCACCTTTTCATGTAATCCAAAGGCATCAATCAAAGATAAGACCCAGCTCACGCTGCCATCTCCACCACAAACCACAATGCGAAAGCGAGCAAAGTTCTTGAACATGCAGAGCCTGGAAGAAAGAGAGGGAAAGGGAGTCATTTAATGAACTGATGAGTTTTACAACTCTTTCCTACAATGTGCTAGGGCCAAGGACGGCTGCTTCTGCACCCTGCTAATAGGCTACCTGCCTTCTTTCCTTTAACCCCTATCTCTCTTCTTTTCTCTTAACCCCTAAGATCATAATCAGTTCTCCCACACGTAATCCTGGCAGTCAGGCCTCAACTCAGCCTGACTCTTCTGTGCCCAACCTTGTTCTGGAAGCTACTAGCCACCTAGCCAAATCTACTAGCTGAGGCCCAGGAAGAATGCCTTGCACAGTGGCCAGTGGGTTCACAGAAACCAGGACTGAACAGACAGACGGTCCACAAATAAAACAGGCCTGTAGTAGAGATATATCTACTTGGCCCTGGGAAAAAGAGAGAATGAGTGACAGGAAATGTGGACAGCAATATCCATTTGTCTCCTCCTCTAAGTCAGGAGACATAGTTTTACCTCTTCCAACTGGAGAAGGTGAAGGAAATCTAAGAGTAGGACATCTTGAAAGGATTTCTGGGAGAGGGCTATAAGTTCTCCAGCCATCCACCTGAAAAGTTGTGTCTGTGTTCTGACTTGAGAAAAGAGATCTTTCTTGCCCAGGTCCTAGAACTAATTCCAGGGAGCCTAACCTAGTCTAGAATGCATACAAGGGGGAGTCCCTTCTATAGACCCAACCATATCCCATACCCCATGCTTACCCGGCTTCAGGTCCACCCTTCGACAGGTCAAACACTTGAGATGGGTTAAGGTATTGCCTGAATTTCCGGAGGAAGACGATCCCTTGGTGATCGCCGCTTTTGGAGTTGATGAAGATGAGAAGGGGACATGAACAGGCTGAAGACCAATCGAGATTCCAGAAGTCTGAAGATACTACTAATTGGCCTAATACATGCACACAACAGAAAGAAGAGGGAAAAAAAGAGAAAAGGGCTGTTGAGATGGAAGCAAGGCATGACTTAGCATCAAATTTCACAGACTTTTTAAGAAACAGCTTTACTGTGGTATCACTGATATACAAAGAACTGCACATATTTAATGTGTACAGTTTAATGAGTTTAGACATACGCCAACACTCATGATACCATCACCACAATCAAGGTAATAAGGAATCCAACACCTCCCACAGCTTCCTTGTGCCTCTAAGACTGAGGACCAGAGGGGAAATCAAGACATAATCCAAAGGGGCTTTTATTTAAAAAAAAATAACAGCTGGTCTTTGCCCAGCTGTTGCCAGGCAACCAACATTTGCTGAGCAACTACTACGTGCCAATCATCATGCTAAATACTTCTAGGGGTCAATCCCTAGCCCTTAAGCTGGGGAGAAAGCCTCATACACAAGAGTATGTTGGAACACAAGGAATAAGAAAATTGGTGCCACAACCAAAGATCAATAAAATGCCAAGGGGAAACTGAGGAAGGAGAAGGTAGAGAGCCCAGGATGGGGATTGGTGCACCAACTAGTCCTCTCTCTACCTAGGATATCTCAGTTCTCACACTGAGAAGATACCAGGTCAGGAGAAATGTGGAGGAAAGGCTGCCTTTTAGCCAGGAGCTAATGGTAGAACATATCAGTGTGGGGTGAAGAGGGGAATTTTAGTTACTCCTCAAAGGCTCTGGCAGAGTCATCTAAGTTATCATACCAACTTTTAGGGGGAAACAAGACTATAGGGAAATTGTCTGGACAAGAGAGAGGCTTTTAATAATCCCCAACACTGAAGTTCCCCGTAGAGAAGTGAAGTTATAGCAGTCTAAATTGCCAAAGCCTGCCAGCTCATGCTGAGTCATACAGCCTGTTGGCAGGGAGACTGGCAGTGAGCAATGGACTCACAGGAGATGCTAAACAAATCGTGAGCTCCCAAAGCTCTGAGCTCGTGACTTGCCAGGGATGCCCTGGCAAAAATAAATGCAAAGAGGAAAAAGCCTGTGGCTTGCTCCTGAATCGGGTGGGTCAGGGGAGGGAGGTGGGTGGAAATGGCCCATTTGTTGTAGCCTGGGTGAAAGGGAGCCTGAAGAAAGACTGCTCACTTGAGTGGACTTCATGGTTGTTTTACCTGGAAAAATCTAAAGCAGGCTTCCTCTCTGGGCCAAGTTCTACTTACTGGCCAGCAAAGCTTGAAGGCATCCTAGCCAGTCATGCACCAAACTTTCAGGGCTTGCTAGGGCTCATAGCTACAAGAGGGGGCTGCTATGTCCCTTTAGTAGCATAGCTTGGAAATAATTACTCTACCTGAACACCTTATCCCAAAGTAGTACACTTTTCAACATTTTTGTTTTGTTTTGTCTTGGTTTTTTTTGGAAGGAGGGAGGTAATTAGGGGTTTTTATTCATTTATTTTAATGGAGGTACTGGGGATTGAACCCAGGACCTTGTGCATGCTAAGCATGTGCTCTATCTCTGAGCTATACCCTCTCCCCAACATTTTTTTTTAACAAAAGGTAATATGTTAACACAATGGTAGTTAAGACATTAACTCATTCATTCATTCAACAAATATGTATTGAGGGCATTCTCTATGCCTGTCCTTGTTATGTTCTGAGAATACAGTGGTGGACAAGATAGAAACAATCTTTGCTCTTATGGAACCTACATTTGGAAGGAGACAGACTATGACAAAAATATAGAAAATAATTTGATACGAAGGAAAATAAAGCAGGAAAGGGATGGAGACTGAAGGTGGCATTATTTTAGACAAGGTGGTAAGGGATAGCATCTCTAGGGAGGTGATATTTGAGATGAGACTTGAATGAAGTGAGGAAGTGAGCAATGCAGATATCTGGGGGAAGAGGTTTTTTTGGGGGGTGGGTGGATGGAAGAATAAGTGCTAGGATCCAGAGAAGGAGGGTTACCTGGGGTGTCTGAGGACAGGGAAGAGAATAGCATGGCTGCTGTGGAGTGAGTGAGGGAGAGAGTGACAGAAAATGAGATCAGGGAGGGGGCAGAAGCCAGATAAAATGACAACAAGATGTTAGAGGAAACAGTTTAAAAAGAAGGGGGAAACTATTCAGTATGGAATTGAAACATTAGGGGTCAGATCTTAAGATATATGAAGAAAATAGTCAAAAGTTGGGATCTTTTTATGTTCTTGCTCCCCTGCTAACCAACAATGCAGGCTCCAACTCATAGCCTGGCCTGTCTTCTCCTTTGTCTTAGAACATGATTCTGCTTGTGCTTCCCTTCCTTACTCAACAACCTCTTTGTCAACATCCTGCAGGTGAGTGTGGCACTTCCGGTCTGTACCCCAATTAAAGGATTCATGGGAACAGCTTCCTGACAACATCTAGTGGATATGTCACACATGCTTGGAAGCAAGACTCCCCCTGCCAGAGGTCCTGAAACAGACCTGTCTATGCCCCCAATGTTTTTTTTTTTAACAGTGTCAGAGGTCCTTTGGGTTACTTCTCTAAAAGTGAGGTGGCAGTAGCCCTGAGTCCAACTATTGTGAGCTATTTGTGCCAAGGTTTCCTCATCGGATAAGTGGGTTATTCAAAAAACTAAGATATTGCCCAATGTTTAGAAGTTAGGTGTTACACTGATGAGAAAAGGAAATATAAACTGGCTCATAAAGGTGAAAAGATGAACAAACTAATTCTGCAGTGGACTTCTACAAGACAATGCAGCTGTGTGCCACAGCTGGTTGCCCTCCAGGTTTATTTATTAACAAAAAGCAAACATCTTAACTTTGTTGGGTGTTCATCTCTCCCTGGGTACAACAGCATCATGTTGCAATTATTAATAAAATAATCCAGGGTGGGGATAGAAAGCTTCTAGATAAAAAGAAAATTCTGTAATTTAGGCAACTCAGACTTCAGTATAAAACATAATTGGGTCACAGATGGAAAGACAAGGAGAAGCAGCACTGACTGGAAGCCATTCCCAGGAGACTACAAGGGTGGCTCCATCTAGCATTTCCCCCCAGAGTCAGGGGACATCTGAATTAGAGCAAGGCCAAGTTGGTCAAGAAAATCCTATGAACAAGGTAACAAAAATGGATGGTACTGTGGGCTGGAATATAGCAATGGATTCATAGCCAACTAAATGATCATGCCCACAAGGTTGCTTTATAACAGGCTGATGTTCATTGTAAAGGAATGTCCTGTACTATTCAGAATTTTAATCAATTAAAATAAAAACATAGAAGTCTAGCTTGTCAAATTTGAAGCACCCAAAGCGGGAGAGAGAGCCACCGGATGATAGAATCAAGATTGAAAAATGACCGTAACAGGCAGTCGGGTCAAAGTCAACAAGCTGAAAAGGGGATAAATGTGAAGCTTGGCCTTTAGGCTCAAGGATGTAAATTGCAGCAGAACAGGACAATAGAAACTTGGCTTGGCAGCATCAAGTGTGAAAAGGGCTTAGGGGATTCAGCTGACTTTAAGCTTCAGATGAGTCAACAGACTGGAAGAGCCTTTCAAAAAAAAAAAAAAGCTCATGCTTCTTTGAGCTACAGTAATATAATCACAGTGTCCCAAACCAACGAGCCAACAGTCCCTCTCAAATTTGTTCAGTTCATACCACAGAAGGATGTTAAATTAGCATACAGGTGGCTTACTGTTCCTCATTTAACCCTCATAATGAACCTGAGTATAACTTTTATTCCCTATTGGCAGAAAACAAATGATACATGAGGCACAGAGAAGCTAAGTAACTTGCCCAAGTTCACACAGTTAGTAAAATGATGGAATTTGCTCCAGGGGGATGGAGTCCTCCAGGAGATTGCTCTGGGGACTTTTTAGAAATGTAAATTCTTGTGCCCTACCCAGATCTACTGAATCAAAAGCTCTGGGGGTAGGGCCTAGAAATCTGTGTTTTAACAAGCCTTCTGGATGATTCTAGTGCATTCTCACATTTGACAAACTGCATTATACTCTTTTGCCCCCATATGAATAAGGGATGCTGTCTTGGTCATACATATCCTGACTACATTATAATTCATCAATATATGTCTCCCACTCCAGACTGTGAGTTCTCTGTATCCCTAGCACTTAACTCAAACCAAGATACATGATATATGCACAGTCAAGATTTGTTACATGAATTCATTAATCCAGTTACTGAATACTGCCTATAGGTAAGGCTCAGTGATAAGCAATCTAGAGAATAAGCTATGACTAAATCTTAGACAGTGAGTTTTGAATATTGAGTGTTCAAATATTTGAGTAGATGCATCACTGAATGAGGGACATGTGTCTGTGCATGTCATTATGGGGACATATGACTATGCTTTCCTGCAGAAAACTGTGTGAGTGGCTCATTCCATGTACCAATGTCTGTCTGTATCTGTGTTGGGGTTGAGAAATTAACTAGAAGAGACTAGAGTGGCTCAGAGTGTGTGTACACGTATGTGCACACATGTACATGTGTGCTATGTCTAGTTCTAGAACTGTTGTAATGGCTACAGAAATCCTTACTCCCTTCTGTCCTCTGACTAAGGAAACTATATACTCTTCTTTATTTTCCTTTTTTTGCTCCCAGCTAATACTGGATTTTCCTTGGCAATGAAGTAGGCAGCAAGCAAACAAAATTATTTCATGGATTATCTAGTGTCTAGAAATCATGAAAAAGCTGAAATCAATTCTGATTATTTGGAAACAACGATGACAGAGGCTCCAGAGAACATGCCCACATACATATACACCATAAATATCAATGTTCACCACTGCAAAGATCTAACAAAAAACATAAGCTGTCTCTACACATACGCACACTCATACTCCCAGAAATGTTTGACTGGTTGAGCAAATTAATTTAATTGCGGTCCTTTCCCCCAGGATTTGCACCTTCCCTCCCTCCCCAATGTATTTCTGAAGTTAAAGTTTAGCTACTCACCATCACCTTTGGGGTCGCTGAGGGCAGTGGGAGGAATGACTGATGTGCGATGACTTCCAAACCAGCATTCCTTGGAAAACCGTTTCCGGCAGTCATCATGCACCTGGAACGACAACAGAAGAAAGAAAAAACATGAGTTGGGTGAGAAAAGGATAACATAGATTACCATTTTGTTCCAGTTCCAAAATTTAAGTACTCAGTATTCAAAACTCCCTTTCTGAGATTAGGCATCATACATATACCCTTGACTCAACCTCTCTCTCTGTCTTGAGTCTGCACCATTCCTGAGTGTGGCCTTTGAATTCTGTTCCTTTCACAGGTGGCTTTTAGAAGATATTCATCACAGGCATTGAGTAGATGCCAGTCCTAGGGCACAATTTTAGTGGTCTAAAGAATGGGGAGTTTACTTGCTATCCTGCTAATCCTGATAATGTTATTATACTTTAATCCTTACAACAACTGTGTATGGTATGGAACACATTATTAAGTTCATTTTAGAAACAAGGAAACCAAAGCTCAGAGAGGTAAAGGATCTTGCTCAAGGTCAAACAACTGGGAAATGAAAAAGCTGAGACTCTGCTGCCTTCCCTACTAATGGCATACTTTCCAAATTTTTGGTATCTTCAATGACTACTTCCTGGAAAATTACACAGTTCCTAGATGACATGAACCTGGACTAATTATGCAAGAGCAATTAAAAGAGATCTAGAGGACAATCAGATTCTTCTTTTTTATTATGGTATAATTGAAATAAACATTACATTAGTTTCAGGGGTATAACAGAAGGATTTGATATTTGCATATATTGTGAAATTGTCAGCACAATAAGTCTAGTTAACATCAATCACTATACATAGTTATATATTTTTTCTTGTGATGAGAACTTGTAAGATGTACTTTCTTAAGGAATCTAAACATAACACTAAATGAATCCATTAAAACACAAAGAAAGAAACCAAGAGGAGAAGACAAGAACAGAGAAAAACTACAAAAAAACAACCAGAAAACAATTAACAAAATAGCAACAAGTAAATGTCTATCAATAATCACTTTAAATTTAAATGAACTAATAATGTTCCAACCAGAAGACATAGAGTGGCTGAGCGGATACAAAACAAGGCCCATGTATATGCTGCCTACAAGAAACAACTTAGGTCTAAAGACACACACAGACTGAAAGTGATAGGATGGAAAAAGGTATTCAATGCAAACGAAAATTAAAAGAAAGCTAGTGTAGCAACACTTATATCAGACAAAATATACTTTAAAAAAAGACTGTAACAAAAAAAGGAAGGGCATTAAATCATGATAAAGGGGTCAATCCAACAAGAGAATAGAAATTTGTAAACAATTATGTACTCAACAGAGGAGAATATATATATCTCAAACATTAACAGAAATAACTGGAGAAATAGAAATACAATAATAGTAGGGGACTTTAATATCCCAGTTATGTCAATGAATAGGTTATCCAGACAGAAAATCAATAAGAAAACACTGGCCTTAAATAACACAGATGAGATTACCTTAATAGATATATACATAGAACATTCCATCAAAAAGCAGCAAAATACATATTCTTTTCAAATGCACATGGAACATTCTCCAGATACATCACATTAGGCCACAAAATAAGTCTCACTAAATATAAGAAGATCAGAGTCATATTAAACATCTTTTCTGACAACACTATGAAACTAGAAATCAACCACAAGAAGAAAACTGGAAAAAAAACCACTTGGAGACTAAACAGCATTATTCTAAACAAGCAATGGGCCAACAAAGAAATCAAAGAAGAAATCAAAATATACTTTGAGACAAAAGAAAATGGAAACATAACTGTCCAAAATCTATAGGACACAGCAAAAGTAGTCCTAAGAGGGAAGTTCATACTGATGCAGGCCTACCTCAAGAAACAAAAATCTCAAATAAAGAATCTAAATGTACATTAAAGGAACTACAGAAAGAAGACTAAGCAAAGCTCAAAGTTAGTAGAAGGAACAAGATAATAAATCATAGAGGAAATAAGTGAAATAGAGACTAAAAAGATACAAAAGATCAATGAAAATAAGAGGTGGTTCTTTGAAAAGATGAACAAAATCAACAAAACTTTAGCCAGGCTCATCAAGACAAAAAAGAGAGTGCCCAAATAAATAGAATGAGAAATGAAAGAGGAAAAATTACAACTGACACGACAGAAATGCAAAAGATCTTGAGAGAATACTATGCACAATTATATGTCAACAATTAAACAACCTAGAAGAAATGGAAAAATTTCTATACTATATGATCTTCCAATACTGAATCATGAAGAAATAGAAAATATGAATAGAATTGATTACTAGTAATGAAATTGAATCAGCAATCAAAAAACTCCCCCAAAACAAAAGTCAAGGTACAGATGGCTTCACAAGTGAATTCTACCTAATATTTAAAGAATAGTTAATGCCTATAATTTTCAAATTATTCTCCCCAAATTAAGGCAATGGAATACTTCCAAACTTATTCTACAAGGCCATCATTACCCTGATACCAAAACCAGACAAAAATGCTACAAAAAAGAAAATTACAGGCCAGTATCTTTGATAAATATAGATGTAAAAATCCTCAACAAAATATTAAGAAACAAAATTCAACAATACATTAAAAGAATCATACACTATGATCAAGTGGGATTCATGCTAGGGATGCAAGGATAGTATAACATGCATAAACCAATCAGCGTGATACACCAAATTAACAAAAGGAAAGATAAAAATCACATGATCATCTCAATAGATGCAGGGAAAAGCATTTGACAAAATTCAATACCAGTTTATGATTAAAAAGAAAAACCTCTCAACAAAGTGGGTATTGTGGGAACATACCTCAACATAATAAAAAGCCATATATGACAGACCCATAGCTACATCATACTCAATGGTGAAAAGCTGAAAGCTTTTTTTAAGATTAGGAATGAGACAAAGATGACCACTATTGCCATGCTTATTCAACATAGTATTGGAAGTCCTAACAACAGCAATGAGACATGAAAAAGAAATAAAAAGCATAAAAATAAGAAAGGAAGAAGTAAAACAATCACTATTTTCAGATGACAGAATACTGTATGTAGAAAACATCAAAGACTCCACCCCAAATCTACTGGAGCTAATGAATGAATTCAGAAATTTATAGATACAAAATTAATATACAGAAACTTATTATATTTCTATACACTAATGGTCAACTGCCAGAAAGAGAAATGAAGAAAACAATCTCATTTATAATTACATTAAAAATAATAAAATATCTAGGAATAAATTTAACCAAGGAAGTAAAAGACCTATAGTCTCAAAACAGTAAGACATTGATTAAAGAAATTGAAGATGACACATTCAAAAATGGGAAAATATACCATGGTCATGGATTGAAAAAGTCAATATTGTTAAAATGTTCGTACTACCCAAAGCAATCAACAGATTCAATGCAATCCCTCTCAAAATACCAATGGCGTTTTCCACAGAACTAGAAAAAATGAATAGAATTTTTAAAATGAAAACACAAAAGACTCCTAACAGCCAAAGCAAGCTTGAGAAAGAAGAACAAAACTAGAGGTGTCTCACTCATATACTTGAAACTATACCACAAAGCTACAGAATTCAAAACAGTATGGTACTGGCACAAAAACAAGACATAGAAATTAATGGAACAGATCAAGAGAGTCCAGAAATAAATTCACACTCATATGTTCAATTAATCTATGACAAAGGACACAAGAATATATGATGGGAATAAGACAGTCTCTTCAATAAGACTGGACATCTACATGCAAAAGAACAAAACTGGAACACTTTCTTGCATATATACAAAAATAAACTAAAAATGAATTAGAGACTTAAATGTAAGACCCAAAACCATAAAACTAGAATAAAACATAAGTAGTAAGCTCTTTGACACATTTTTTGTGTATGTCTCCTCAGGCAAGGGCAACAAAAGCAAAAATAAATAAATGGGACTACATAAAACAAAGGCTTTTGAAAAGTGAAGGAAAACACCAACCAAAAAAAAAAAAAAGACAACCTACTGAATGGGTGAAGATATTTGCAAATGATATATCCAATAAAGTGTTGATATGGAAAATATATAAATAACTCATACAACTCAATATTTTAAAAAAAACTTGGTTAAAAAATGGGCAGAGGACCTGAATAGACATTTTGCAATGAAGACATACAGATGGCCAACAGGCACAGGGAAAGGTGCACAACATCATTAACCACCAGGGAAATACAAATAAAAACCACAATGAGATATCACTTCACACTTGTCAGATGACTGCTTTCAAAAAGACAAGAAACAGGAAGTGTTGGCAAGGACGTGGAGAAAAGGGACCACTTGTGCACTGTTGGTGGGAATGTAAATTGGTGCACCCACTATGGAAAACATTATGAGAGTTCCTCAAAAAACTAAAAACAGAACTACCATATAATCCAGCAATTCCACTTCTTGATATTTATCCAAAGAAAATGAAAACACTAATTTGAAAACATACATGTATTTACAATAGCCAAGGTATGGATGGATTCTGTGTCTATCCATAGATGAATGGATAAAGAAGATGTAATACATGCACACAAACACACACACACATAATGGAATATCACTCAGCCATTAAAAAAGAATGAGATCTTGCCATTTGTGACAATGTGAATGGACTTAGAGGGTATTATGCTGGGTGAAATAAGTCAGACAGACAAAAACAAATCCTGTATTATTTCACTTACATGTGGAATCTGAAAGACAAAACAAACGAACAAACAAAACAAAACAGAAACAGACTCATACAAACTGGTGGTTGACAGAGTGGAAGAGGTTGAGGGGAATGAGGGAAATAGGGGAAGGAACTTAAGAGGTACAAACTTCTAGCTGTAAAATCACAGGAATGTAGTGTACACATAGGGAATATAGTCAATAATATTGTAACAGTTTTTTATGATTAATAGATGGTAACTGCTCTTATAACAGTGATCATCTCATAATGTATAAAAATATCTAATCACTATGTTGCACACATGCAACATTATGTTATATTAATTTCATGTGTGCAAAATAGTGATCAGGTAT